TAGCAATATAATGAAAGGGCTGTCTTTTTTTTTTGTGTCTGACATGGGAGAGACTGCAAGTAAAACGCTACTTGCAGTTTTTAAAAGCTGGTGAAAAAATGTAAGAGACTTCAGAAAAAAAGCCCAAGGAAAAAACCCTTTTATTTACAGGACTGGAAAACTGGTTTCATAAAGAGAAGGAAAAAGGTATTTGTTTATTGAAAAATGTCTTGAAACATTTCTTCCGGGAAGGATTCAGGAATAGCTGCTTTGGCAGCCAGCAGACAAGGGATTTGGTTATAAAGGACATGAGGATAAAGGAGGAAGAAAAACTGAAGCCAACTAACTTGAAGAACAGCTTACCAGGGACAGTGGTAATTTCTGGTTCACTTGAATTCATAGGGGTGGGGGTGGTTAAATTTTAATTAGTGAGTTTGGGTGAGGTGCAGGTCTGACAGCTGAAATGCAGTGCTCTGAAGCCTGACATCCCTGGAACAGCTCAGTTGGGAGCTGGAATATGGAAATCACAGAAATAATTCTGCTGACCATTTGTAGTTTGCATTACTGCTTGAAATATTAATGTGATCCTTAGAGCGTGCCTTCTGCATGGCTGGATTTGTCCCTCAAGTTTATAGAAGAGTTTGGAATTTTGAAGGCAGTCTCATTTTTGCCTGGATTTGATGAGAGGTTTATAACAATTGCAGGCTAAGGTGGGCACAGGATTTTGTTTGTCTCTTGCAGGCTTATATGTCAGGGATAGATAACAGTACACAATAGAGGCATTTCAGATAAAGAGTCCTGGTGGATTAAGAACTCCTGATCTTTTTAGGAAATTGATGATTTCTTGCTTTCTGTATGAAAATCTTAATGCTTAGCATGGCTGTTGGAAGACACTTAAAACAGAACTTCTTAAACTTCTTTTATACCTTTTTTAAAACAGGAAAATCCAAACCAATTCCTTTGAGGAGCTGGATGAGGAGGGCAAGTGTTAGTGATTCTCTGGCATGACTTTTAGAGAAGAGAGCCTGGAGAGCTGGAGTTGGGGGCTGGTCTCTTCCCCAGCAAAGCTGCTCATGTGGCTCAGCAGCTTGGCAAGTGAATCCTGCCCAATAAAGCTCCCTCTCGTGGTGCTGCTGCCTTTCCAAGTGCATAAAGGCATTTCTGTCACATAGAAATGTCTTTTCATGGGCCTGCAAGTGAGCATAGCATTTGGCTGGTAACTTGTGCTTCAAAATGTGTCCAAGATTTTTGTTGAGTAAATAATACACTTATTAAAGGAGAGTTGAAAGTATCTTGTTTAGGACTTGGGGAACTTGTCATACTGTGGAATAGAGGAAGATAAATATTATCCTTATCCTTAAACTTTGAGTAGTTTGGATGCTCCAAAATAAACTTGTGACTTCAAAATAACTCAGTGACAGTCAGGATGGACTGTCTACTATACCTGCTGTCATTTCTCCAGATGGTGAATGGCTGTGTGTCTGTAACAATGTCATCTGATACAGTTTGTATTCAGTGGGATGTGTTGTAGTGTGTTTGTAAAGCCAGGAGTGGTTTTATAATAATCTAATGTCATATATTATATGTGCCATTGATTTTTCTCAGCTCTACCTGCACTACTGCAGCCTCACCTCAAGTCCTTGGTGCAGTTTTGGGAATCACAATATAAAAAGGACATGAAGCCATTGGAGAGCATCCTAAAGAGGGCCATGAGAATGGTGAAAGGTGTGGAGGGGAAGTCTCATGAGGAGGGCCATGAGAATGGTGAAAGGTGTGGAGGGGAAGTCTCATGAGGAGGGCCATGAGAATGGTGAAAGGTCTGGAGCCTCCTGAGGGGCAGCTGAGGTCACTCAGTTTGTTCAGCCTAGAGGAGATTGAGGGGAGACTCACTGGGGTCTTCAACGTCCTCATGAGGGGCAGCAGAGGACGAGGTACTGATCTGTTCCCTCTCATGACAAGTGACAGGAGTCACAGGAATGGCTGGAGCTGAGCTGGGAGATATTTAGGCTGGATATCAGGAAAAGGTTCTTCCCCCAGAGGGTGCTGGGACACTGAACAGGCTCCCCAGGGAATGGGCACAGCTCTGAGCCTGTCTGAGTTCAAGAACTGTTTGGACAATGCTCCCAGACATTGGGTGGGATTGTTGGGGTGTCTGTGCAGGGCCAGGGATTGTATGTGATGAACCTCACAGACTTGGTGGTCCTTCCAATCATCATATTCTGTGGTACTTGCTTAAAAACCTCAGAAGCTGGAGTCAATCCATGTTGCCTCTCATTAAGCCAATTTACCATCATCCAGCAGCTCTTGCAATAACTTTCTCCTTGCTAAAAGTTAAACACTTTTAAGGCTGTTAAATGTTTGATTCTGGCTGATGAACCCATCTGCCTGATAGGCTGAAAAGTCATCTTCTGATCTTTGAGAAACAGCTGATGTGTCATCAGGGTGTCTTGGTGTGTGCATTGGTCATTCAGTCATTGGTAAACTTGAAAACTGCAAGTGTAGGAAATGCTGGTTATGGCAGCTTGTGTTGTCTGGAGTCATGTTACTCTTCCAGCACAGTAGGTGACTGGTGCTTTGCCAGAGCCAGTGTCTTTGGCCAAACAGGAAAGACTGTCCCCAAACATGCAGCAGTCAGTAATAAATAGACACATGGAGATCATGGAGATAATCAACTAATTCTGGAGCAGGATGTTTCAGATGCCATGCTGTGAACGAGGTGTTTCTGTAAGATCATGCACATAAACTTCCTCATTTGTTTCCATAAGCAGAGGGAACTAGCCTGCTCTGTGCTGTCTGACATGGATTGGGTCTGTGTCTGCCCTAGGCACCCTTGGAGCTGGATTTCTTTAGTCTGAGCATGAGCCAGAGCCTGTAGGAGCAGGTAGGGATCCTGTTCCTCCTGTTGTGCCCAGTGGCATGCAGGTTTTTGTCTGGGCTCTGCCCAGAGCAGCAGCCTGTACCCACAGACATGTGGCCTGACCAGAAGAGTCTCCTGTGCTGTCCCCTCCCTCCTTGGCTTCCCTGACATGTTGCTAGTGCAATAACTGCAGGTGGTGGCTCTGAAGCACAGCCTGGACTGGTGACAGTTTCTGAGGTGGTATCATTGCCTACATGAGCTGAATTCTTGCCCCTGTTCATCTTATTCCTGGTTCTTGTCCCCTGCAGAGTGTTATTAGAGCATCTGGTTTGGGGTAGTGCACAGTCCAGCCTGGGACAGCCTTTGCTTACTGCTTAGCAAAGCCAGAGGCAGCACAGCCCTCTTGGTTTCATTTCCTCTCAGCCAAAGCAAAGCTCCCTACAGCTCTCCCTTGGGAAGTTTAGTTCAGTCCCCAGCATCTCAAGGGTCCTGTGTCATCAGCACTGTGTCCCCTCCTGGTCTCAGTACCTGTGTCCCTGTCTTTGGTACAGAGCAGACTCTGGAGTTGTGACTAATGATGTAACCAGTTGGTTCAGCCTGAGAGTCAGATTTGTCCTGTTGAAGTACAATACTTCAAATCCTGCCCAACTTTTCCCAGTTGTGCTTCTCATCTTACAGCTCGAGGGCCCTAAGTGATTCATCAGACAACAGGATCTTAGAAAAGAATGTCAGTTCTCTTCCTCAGACTTGATGGTTTAATTGTGATTGGTTTTCTGGCATAGAGAATAGGCAGTAAAAGAAGGGTTAGTGTTACTGAGTTTCTCAAGAGCATGTCTTTGGACACCAGGCAGTCTTGTGGTTAAAAGCAGGAAAATAATCGAGAAATGTGTCCCACTGGTCAAGGATTGAGTATTCTTTGGATAATTTGTTATCCTGACCCCCTACCATTGTCTGATTTCCAATTGAAATGTTAATTTCAACTGGCATTGTCAAGTTGTGATGTGCTAGAAGTACCTTGCAGGATCAGAAAACTTTTATTACCTATCTTGAGGTCTGGATTAGTCAATGAAAGCTTGGTAAAATATATGGATTGGTGGCCCTCTTTGCTCTTCAGCTTCTCTACACTCTTGTTGAATCTTGCTCCTTGTTTGTTTTTAAGGTAATTGCTTTGGAAACCATGTATGATTGGTTTTAATTCCAGTTTTCATATTCTCTGTGAATCTAAAATAAAAAATACTCTGTTTATGATGCTGGTCTTACTTCCATTGCCTCAGTCACCCAATGGTAAAGAAAGCTTTTCTTTTTCCTGAAGCAAAGCTCTGCCTTACTCCACTGTCAGTAGCTCACTTGTGCATTATCTTTATTCTGTAATTACTGGTAATAAGATAACTTTATATGTAATAAATTCCTGTCAATTTTAAATCAAATCTAATTTGGTTTTGTGAAGTTGTGTATTGCCAAACCAAGTGTGTGCAGTAGAGGTCAGAGATCGAAAAGATAAAATAGCTTTTTAGTTGTGTTTATAAATAACACTTCTGTTGCAGGTATTTTATCAAAGTAATAATAATCTTTTTTTTTAATTGGTCATATTCCAACTTTCCTGAATGCTTGCAGCCAAGGAAATTGTCAAGCATTGGCACCGGTTGCCCAGGGCAGTGGTGGAGTCACCATCCCTGGAAGTGTTCAGAAGATGTGTGGATGTGACACTGGGGACATGGGTTAGTGGTGAACATGTGGTGCTGGGTTAAGAGTTGGACTCAATGATCTTAAAGGGCTTTTCCAGCCTTAATGATTCCATGATTCTGTGGAGGCTTACAATGCAGGACAGAGCTTCAGTTCCAAAAATGATTTTGTGGTTCCATTATCTATTTTTGAGGTACAGTGAAGTGTTCTAGGGGGTAGACAGTGACTCTTACTCAACGTATCTCACCGTTCCTGCTCTCCAGACTTGTTCCCAGTGAGGGGATTTGGGCAGCACAGCCTTGGCTCGCTGACAGGCCAGGGTGTGGCCACCAAGCCCCCACTGCTCCAAGTTCTGTGTTCTGGTGGAGCTGAGGAGCCTCTGCAGGCCACTGAAGCCTCTCCACACTTTGGGCTCCCCTGGCTTTTGGCTGTCATAGAATCTTCTTTCCTTTTCCTGATCTTTTGATGGAACCTTTTTGTTTTCCAGGACTGGCAGCCTCCATTTGCATGCGATGTCGACAAGCTTCACTTCACACCGAGGATCCAGAGGCTCAATGAACTGGAGGTAAACTGGAAATCTGAGCAGTACTTCTGTTCCCAAATGTTTCTGTGTGTTTCTGGGAGGTGATGTTTGCCAGAGTTGGCCATGAGCTGACAGCACTTTGGACCACGAACAGCAATTTTTAATTAGCATGGAAATTCATCTGTTTCAGAACCTAGTTAGAAACATTCCAGGCATAAAAGTAATGTTAATGCTCATTAAAGGAACATAATTTAGGCCTTTTCCACACATGTGTTTCTAAGTAGTTAAACTGTCCAGGGCCATAGATCTGTGTCTGTGTTTTGCACTCATACAGCATCTTTCAAAAGGAAAAGAGATGAAACACTTGGAGTGCTTTAAAAATAGGCAGCCTTTTGGAAGAAACAATTGCAAAATCTGGATTCAGTTTGTGGAAATTTGCTGTTCACAAGCACTTTCATTCACTGCTTCAATGAATTGACACTAAAGGGGAGTGTGAGGCGTCCTGGTTGGCTCAGTGCTGGTACCATTTGGGATGATGGTGACTGTGCCTGATTATTCTCCTGATTCTTGGTTTTTAAAGCCCTGATGTGGCTGTGTGAAGTGCTGGGGAAGGGCTCAGATGCTGGCTTGGAATGCTAAGAGAGGGATTTGTGTGACCACAAGCTGTTCAAAGCTCCCTGGAGTTTGCAGACAAGCTAATCTGTACAGACAAGAACAGTTTTTACCTTAAAATTAGAAAATGTGCTGAAAACAAAATATATCAAAATTTAAGTTACTGCTCTAACATAGCAGCAGTGCAGTGATTTTACTGTGGTAATTGCTGTACAACCAGCCAGGCTTTCCCAGGCCTGACCCATTTGTATCCTTAAAAGTGAAACAGATACAGTTGTGAGAAGGGATAAGAGATAAACAGATACAACTTTTAAAATGATTTTTTGAAAACAATACTGATTTATTTTTCGTTTATTGCAAATAAACCAAATAGTAATAAACTATTGCAATAATTAATGTAGTAAATGCAATAAATCCTGGCAATGCAGCTGGCTTAGGGGGTTTTGAGCAGTAATAACTTAGTGTTTGGCTGTTCTCCAAAGGTGCTTTTCTCAGTGCAGTAAAAGGTAACAGAAAGTGACTCAAGGAAAGATACAGATATTATCAATGGTATCTGCGTGGAATTTATTTTTCTTCAAATGATGAGAGGGAAAAATGCAAAATAACTCTTGCAGAGGGCAAAGTTGGGAAAGCAACTGCAGCTGCAGTGCTGTAAATCTTATACAAAACCTGCATCTGCTTTTAGCATGCAGTTCATTTGTTTGTTTGGTTGGTTTCAGGCCCAAACTCGTGTAAAGCTGAATTTTCTGGACCAGATTGCAAAGTTTTGGGAGCTTCAAGGATGCACACTGAAAATTCCACATGTGGAGAGGAAGATCTTGGATTTATTTCAGCTTAACAGAGTAAGACCATTATGGAAAAAACTATCCTGAAAAGCTGCTGTGTTACTTCAGTTCCTGGGATGGTATCACAGCTGGTCAGGAGAGGTTTTGGGGTATATCTAAGCTGGAAAAAGTATTCCTTTGTTTAAGCTAACATTGCTAATGGGACAGTAAGAGTAAGAATACATTATCAGGGAAAGACAATAAGTAATATGTTATCATGGAAGTTTTCCTGTGATCTAAGAGATCACCTTAAATTCACAGCTCTTCTTTAAAATTGAACTTGGGTCAAGAAAATACTTAGGCTTAATTGGAGAAAGTTCCTGAGCAATGACAAAAGTGAGAGAAAATAATTTTCAATTAGAAATATGGAAGGAAAAAAATCCAATTACTTTTAGGGCGAAACTTGCTCAACAGTTCATGTATACTGATAGTAAGAGATGGGATTCTCTGAAAGGATATGTTCTTTCTCTTTCCTTTATGTTTAGGCAGTTTTTATTTGGAAACTTTGAGCTTATTTCGTAGCACTTGTTCCAGTGAAAAGAACTGAGTGTCCTGTGCTAGAAAATTGTGTTGGGACACAAAGTGACAAATTGCAGCCAAGTAGGTTCTCAGAGTAGGCCGAGTGATGGCACATGGAACACAGGTGCTGACTTCTTTGTAAAGTAATTCAACAGGTTTGTAATTCCTGAATAGGTTACGTGTTACATATTCTAGTTATTGCCTTAAAACAACTTTGATGTCATGTGTGATTCTTAAATATATATTTTTGTGGTGTAAATTGTTAATTAGGATGTTGTCCTGCCTTTTTCCTTGAACACTGATAATTTTACCATTAAATATGTGACCATTTTATTTTCACTTTTTAGCTAGTTGCAGAACAAGGAGGATTTGATGTCGTTTGCAAGGAGAGAAAATGGACCAAAATAGCCACGAGGATGGGCTTTGCTCCTGGCAAAGCCGTGGGCTCGCACATCCGCGCGCATTACGAGCGGATTCTCTACCCCTACAACTTGTTCCAGTCAGGAGCGAGTCTCTTGGTAAGCTGTACTGAAACCAAGTGCTCAGTTAATGTAGCAGCCAGTCTGGGCGGGTTCTTTGGATTTCTGGAATGTTTGTGGAGCTGCATTTCGTACTTGGTGTCATGCAGGTGACCAGGTGCAGTGGTCAGCAGTTCAGAAAGCCGTGAACAAACTTTTCATTAGAGTGAAGTTTTTAGCATTAGTCCTCCAGGTAACCTCTGCTTCCTGATTTGAACAGTATCTGTTGGTATTTTCTCTCTGCAGTTTACAGAAGTCTCATGATAAGGGACATTCCTGTAATGATTTCTGTAAGACCAAGCACTGCTGTGTTCATGGAACATTCCGGGTCCATCTCTCTGCCACAAAAATTGCTGTGGGCCTGTGTCACATGCCTGGAGTGACTGAGGGACTGTGCCAAGCCATGGCAGTGTTGTGGCACATTCACTAAGGGGGACAGGTTGCAGAAAACTTCCTGATTGCTGTAGTGATGTTAATAGCATGACTTGGGATTTTTCCAAGCTTAAATCTTCATCCTTCCTAGTCATCAATCTTTGATTTGACCATTAAACCAAAATTCAGGGTTGATTGAGAGTGGAGGCCACATAATCTCTAATAAGGAATAGGTCTGTTCTTTTAGAGCAGCAGTCATTTATTTGGAAAATCAAAACTGGTTGCAGTTGCCAACATCCATTTTTATTTCTTTGAAATGCTCTTTCCATGATGATCTTTCAAAGACAGGAGTGCTGACCTTTTTTAAGCAATAAATGCCCTAATCCTGTTACAAGCAATGTCTCTGTGTACAGAAATCAACACAGGCCTTTACAGACAGCTACCAAAATGAGGAAGGGATTTGCTGTAAGTCCAGAGAGGTTAGAATTAGACTTTTTATTTAGGCAGTGGCAATCACTTCTCAGTGAGGAACAGCTAAATTCTGCTGGCCCTTCAGATAAAGGGGTCTTTTGCAAACAGGATAAGAACAAAATAGAGTTGAAGATAAAAATCTTCATGCTAAGGAAACTGCTGGATCAAAAATATTCTGGCTTTCTTCATACATTCATGTTAAGTAATGGAAAGCAGCACCATTTTCTAAAGGTATTTAATTGAAAACTTTGCATTTGTATTAGGTCTGAAAACAGTGATTTCTTTTTGGGTTTTTATTGAGCTTGTATGTTTGCTACATCTGTCTTTGCTGCTGTATTTTTGAGGTACCATTGCACAGGGAAAGATCTTAAACTTGGATTTGTGAATATGGTACCAAAGTATCGTGGGAATTTCCTGAGAACGTCTGTCACGTAGTCAGTACTCCATGGTTTGCTCAGTATTAAATCCTTTTAGAAGAGGAAAAACCTCCTTAGATGAGGACATGCTTCATTTTAAATGATTTTTCAAGCTCTGTCTTGCAATGGGCCCTTGACATCTGTCCAAACCAATGTGGAGGCAGTTCTGGACAAATGATGAATGTAAGTTTAACTTAATTTTTTTAGCTCCTCCACTCCTGTATATGCAGATACAGATTTTTTAATGACTGGAGAGAATTCACAGAAATAAGTTTGGTTTAGCTCACTTTTCACTCTAATTTGATTTTTTTTTTTCCCTGACAGTATTGTCTTTCAAGTGAGTTTGTTTTACAGTACGTTTTTTGAGTGTCATCTCAAATGAGATTCTTTTTGGCTTCCTTTCATGTGTTCTTATTAAGTGGTGCTTACCGAGATGCTTCTTGTGCAGGTGTCTGTTACTGTGTGCCTGTTCAGTGTTTTTCTGGGAATCTAAGCACCTGAGCTGTGTTTTTGGAGAAGCTGTGTCTGTTCAATGTGACTGCTGTCAGTTGGAGATGTGCTTCCTCCTTCAACAGCCTGTTGAGAGAAGCTCTTCACACAGCTTTGGTGATTGTCCCAACAAGATTACTGCTTGTATTCATTGACTCTTTTGATATGTGTTTTTTTTATTTGGTAATACTTGAAATATTGAAAACTGCCTTCTTTCCTGCAAAAGCCAAAAATATGAAATTATGTAGTTTCCACTAATGACTGTGCTATAACTTTAATCTCCTCTAGATCTGTGTATAGCATTAACAGTTTGTGTGCCTTCAATACATGTTAAGCTGGCTTCAGGAGTTATTTTGACAGATATTCCTGCTGGAGATATTTCTGTCTACATGCTGAAGTAGTGAAAGTCTCTGGAGCTGTTCGGAGGGGAATAGAGTGGAATAGCATGTTTTCATTAAAGCTCATGTTCAGTCCAACAGCAAGAATTCCTTAAACCAGCCAGTTTCTAATACCCAAAGCAGTTCTCCACAGTGGATATTTATTTTTCTCTTATTTTGAAATTGGACTACACAGGCCTCAGGTGTCTCCAGAGTAGCTGCAGTGAACCTGTTGGTACTGTTTCCTGCCACCTGTACCTCTCATTCCCAGCTGTAGTAACTGTGTGTCATCCCAGAGAGCCACGCTGAATGCCCAGAGGGAAAAGTGTCCCCTGCATGAACTGAGGCATCCAGAACCTTCTGTCAGTGCAACTTCCTGTGGTGCATTGCCCAGATGTTTCATGATTTAAAGTTCAGCTACATTTCGGGGGCCTCGAGGTGGTATTAATTCTGTTTTTCAGTGAATTCAGTGACTCATTAATTGTGCATCTGGTCTCTTTTCCAAACTAAGGCTTTAGTGGCCTTAGTGGAATTCATATTTCCAAAGATCTATGTGTGTGTGCCTCTGGTAAAGATGTTTCAGTGTAAGACATTTCTCTGGCACCTGCATTTTTCCTGGAGAAAAGTGAGCACCTCTGGAGTTTGGTGTTTTACCCTCCATGGATGTGTAGCAGGAGTAAACCAGTTGTGTTCTGCAAGTACAGGGAGCCTGGCTGATTGGCTTTTTTCTAAATTATGACCAATTGAAATATACTAATAAATGTCTAAACCTGGAGGAGATGAACTGTATCCCTTTCCCTCCCCAACCTTTTGTCTTCCTGAACACCTTATGACCATTCCTGCCTTGTCCTTTGTCTCCTAAAGGAGCTGCTCCTTTGTGGCTTCAGCTGATGGGTTTTAACTTGCACTGTGCCTCCTCTGAGGGTTCAAAGATAATGTGTGCAACCATCTTGTTGGAATATAATGAGATCATGGCCAGAATGTGTGGGGTGAGCTTCTGGGGAATGGCTGATAGAAACCCAACCCTGCCAAAGCCTGGCTGGAAAGAGGGAAGGACTGGAGAGGTGGCAGCTGTGTCCTTGGCTGGAGGTCATCAGCGTAGGAGTGAAGGAGGTACAGAGGAATTCTCATCCTTAGACCACCTTAGGACACCTTCTGGGTGTTCTCCTGGTCCATCTGAGGTGGTGAATTAACAGCCATTCCATACCACTGCCTTTGCCTCAGGTTAGAGAGGCACTGGGAAATGTCTGTGCTGAAATAGGTGGTGAAACATCATGATTTAGGAAATGTCTTCTGGTGTTTCTCAAGCTGGTAATGAGTGCTCTGGTGCTCTTTTTATTGGTGGGGTTTGGGTTTTTGGTTTTGTTTCTTGTTTGTTTGGGGGTTTTGGGGGTGGGTTTTTTGTTGGTTTTTGGGAGGATTTTTGTTGTTGAGGGCTTGGCAGGGTTTTGGGGTTTTTTGGGATTTTTTTGTGTGTGTTTTTGTTTGTGGGGTTTTTTTGTTTGTTTGTTTGTTTGGGCACTGCGCTAAAGTGAGGCACAATCTGTTGCTTTTCAAGGTTTTCTTACACTTTTGTTTAGGAAAAGCTGTTTGCCTTCTAGATTTGTTTTCAAGGATCATATGTCCTCTATTATCAGGAGCAGTAGAAACTCTTTTTTTTTTCCTGATAATTTTGGTTTTCACATGAGGAAATGACTCAAGGATCCAGATTTTATAGAAGTTATTTTCTGTTCTCTCATTTTCAACCTTTTCCTACTCATTTGATCTTTCTGCTTGTCTGTTGTCTCTTCTGAGAAATTGTTATTTTTTGCTTTCTTCCACTGATGTTGATGTCACATCATCTTCTGTCATCTTTGGTAGATGCCTCATCCATGGAGACATTTAAGGCCAGGTTGGATGGGTCTCAATCTCATCTAGTGGAAGGTGTCCCTGCCCATGGCAGGGGCTCAGAACAAGGTGATCTTTAATGTCCCTTCCAACCCAAACCCTTTTGTGATCCTGTGATTCTGGTTCCAGTGGGAACTTTGAGGGACCAGGCTCCTGTGAAGAGGCAGCTGCAGTGCTCTGGGGCTCTAGACCCAGCCTTTGAGCATCTGCCAGGATTTACTGCTCATGTATATGAGCTGCAAAGTGGAGTGGTACTGTGTATTTAATGCTGAAATTAAATCAGCCATTTGCTTTCAAAATCTAGAGTTCACAAAGTTTGAGACTGAAGGCAGCCTGAAAGCAAACAGCAGTTCTGGAGGTTTCCTTTGTCAGTGTCACTGGCTGCCTGTGGGTGATGGTAAATGACATCCTGCTGTCCTTGACTAATACTGTTTTTTTGTTAAATACATAATTTTTCAGCATAGACTTCTAAAATAACATTTTTTCCTCCTTTTCCCTTCCCCCTTCTCACTGTAATTTGTTTTTGAAAGTCTGTTTTCTGAGCTTGTCTACAGAGCATCGTCATCCTCACACCACTGTTGTGGTTCTCTCTGTCCTTTACTGCTCTCTCTTGCTGAAAAAATGCTTGTGGTGGGAACAGACTAACAGAACTGGGGAAATGTGGATCCAGCAATTTCATGAATTACTTCCTGGCAACATGAGATTTTTTTGTTTCTGTAGGATTTGTTGTTTACTCATTAAAAACTTACATTTTGTCTGCAGTTACTGAGTGTTGTGTGGCTTGACAAACAGGGAATTGTCATTAATTATTCTGTTTCTTGCTAGAGGTATGCAGTTTTCAGCAATTAAATGCTTTCATTCAGTAGCTTGAAAGAGCTAAAACTGTTCTTGCATCTTTTCCCTTCTGCCCTTGATTCAAGCAGCAGTTGTCCTCTCCAAAACATGGAAAGAAGGGAGCTCCTGCAATGTGTGCAGTACAGAGCTGTATTTCAGTTAGGACAGGCATGTTTGATAGGTTGTAATTTACTTTATATTGCTGTGTATGTCACAGCCACTCAACCTTAGGCCACTTCTGCAGTTCCAAAGTGCTGGGGACCCAGTCTGCAAAGGCCCCATCTGCCAGAAGAGTTGGGCCTGGTGTTCTACACAGAGAAATGTTTGATGCTCATTAACACTTAAAGGATGACTTCAGCTTTATTTAAGATCTATTATTATGGCTATTGCAGCCATTAAACTGATAAGAAAAAGTGATGTTGTGCCTTGTTCAAATAGATAATGCTACCACTGTCATACATGCTGTTTATTAACTCAGCACAGGAATTAGGGCCCTATGTTCTTCCCATGACCCAGGAAATTGTTCTACGCAGCTTGTATTGCAAGGGGAGGCAGAAACAAAGTAATCTAATTGTTTCTTTAGTGCTTGCAGAAGCCAGATCTGAGCAGTGACACGAAGGACAAGGAGTACAAGCCCCATGACATCCCGCAGCGACAGTCGGTGCCGCCGTCGGAGAGCTGCCCGCCCGCGCGCCGCGCCAAGCGCCTGACGCCCGAGGTGAGCCTGGGAGAGCAGGACACCCTGAGCACAACTGGGTGTGTGTGTGTGTGTGTGGAGGAACAGCTGCTTCACTCTGTCAGGGGTACCCAAACATAAATGCATAAATCTTGAATAATGGGTAAGAATTGTCTGATATTTTACCAAGTGTGAGTTTTGGAGTTCTCGGAGGCTGTTGGTGAGTGTGTGCAGCAGGGTTATGCTTTCAGCGTGATGGAGATACTGTGGGGCTCTTGAAACACAAGTGACAAATCCTGGAAATGAAGCATCTTTGATCTGTTGTTCCTCACTCAGTGAGCAACACTTATTCCCTAAATTCACTGGGAGATTTCTGTACATATCTCATGAGTTGAAGTCAGTTATTAGAGCGGGGAAGATTGTGGTTATAACATTAGCATTGTTGTAATTCATTTTTCACTCTTGAGTTCTATCAATATTGTGTTAATTTACCCATGCAATATAAGGAAAAATGCATATCATCGAGTCAGTGTGGTTTTGTACAATCTTACATGTCCTTAAGAAACAATATATTTTTGTTTAAGCATGAAATCTGTTGGTTATATCTCAGTATCTTCTGTGAAGATACATTTTAAGTGATCATGTATCTCCTTTGTTGCTGAAAAACAGTAATACTTTGGCTCCAGCCTTTCCAGCTTGATGATCCTATCTCCAGAGAGTTCCTTTTTCTTTTGTTTGGGCAGATGAAGAGTAAGGGAGGATATTCCCAGGAGAGGGTCTGATTAGTGGTGACATCATGAGTTAGGAAGGTCACAGTTTGTTGCAGACTCTTATTAACTCCCACTGTTCTGGTCTTAGTCTCTATTAGTACTAATAGTGCAGCTTAGCTGTTGCAAATTCTGCCTGTAATTATGCTTGGTTAATGAGTTACAATTAAGGGTTTCTAAAGCTTTTCCACTCCACTACCTGGTTACAAGTGGATTTATAATTGTGAACAAACTTCAATCGTTTGGGCTGAAACTTTCCATTTGAAATGTCTGCCTGTGGTTGAAGGATACTTGTTCTCATGGATCCCTTAAGAATTGACAGCAGGACAAATATACACGAAAATTCCCACTGTTTCTCTGGCAGTGGTGTCTGATGGCATTGACAGATCATATTTTTGTCATTTTGGGGGAAACCAACTGCTCATCCTTAGCCAAAAGGCAAGGCTGCCCCCTCAGCTCTTGCCCCAAGCACCACTGATGCTGTATACCTCATTTTTGTGGAAAGAAAATCTATAATTAAGACCATAACTAGAACACAGCGCTAAGGCTGAATTGAGCAACAGGGACTGGCTGGCTTAGCCAGGAGCTGTAGTGTTCTAACACAGTAATTTCGCAAAGTTAAGATTTGTTAATGTGAATTTTGCTGTTCCACGTCAGTGCAGTCAGAGAAGGTGATTAAATCTATTTTATTCAACATTGAAGCTCCAAGCAGTTGGCATTTGCACTGATCTGGTTGCAAAAGAGTAGTGTTTGGTTCACATCTCAATTTTCTACTCTAATGAGATACACAATGATTTGTCAGTGTCTTAAACTGTGAGTCTTAAATTCATTCTCATGTTTGCTAGTTTAATGTTTCCTGCTTTTCAAAGGCTGACCATAAACATTTTGAAGTGAACCACAGGGGAGTACTGTAGGTTACTGTGGCCTGTAGGATAAGTGTTAGTTTGCAGTTGTGAGACACTTGCAGTTTTACCTTGTCTTTTCCTACCTGGTGAATAAACAGTGAGGAGAAAATGTTCATAATGAGAAAGGAAAAGGGCAATGACTCTTTAGGCTGGTTTTGAAATGCAAAGGCTTTAGGTGCTTGATGTAGAACAGTTCAGTGTCAAAGACCACAAAAGTGCAGGGGAGGGAGAGTGAGATGACTTGATGTGATAAAAAGCTCAGGCCAAACCAAATGCTGCTCTTGTGAAGATCAGTATCAGCTAAAGCACAAAAGACTCTGCTCAGAGGAACTGAAGATGCAGAAGTTGGGGGCTTCTCTCTTCCCTTGAGGTTCAGGGCATACTGGCCCTGAGGCAGAGCTGCTGCACACAATGAACAGCTTCTGTTGGTGCATGTCTTAAGCAATGGGACCTCTGCCTGGTGGAGTCATTTGGGCAAGGAGAACATGAAAAGTGATTAGGAAATAATGTCAAAACCAGCTCTGTAAAAATCACAATCAACCAACCAGTGCCTACAAAAAAACTCTAGACTGAACAACACTTCCCACCTCTTGGAGTAGCTGGGGCTGTGTCCAGTCCTGCCTTAGGCCTGGGTCCATCTTCTGGGCTTCAGAGAGTGGCTGAGAGTGACTGAATTTTTGCATGACCTCAGTTCCTTAAAAAATAGAGCATTAGAGAAACCACTCATAACACTGAACAATTTCAGAATTGTTCTTCTTCCATCTGAAAATTTCAGGGAAGAAATGTAAGAATTAAATGGAAGAGCATTATTCTGTGTTGAAATTTCCAAGATGTACCAACAAAGGTCCCTGCTTTGGAGATTGGAGCATGTTCTGCTCCTCAGGAGTACAAGAAAATCTGTGAAAGCACTAAGTTCCTTGTTCTTTGCTTCTTAATGGGTCCCACTGAAATCAAACCTGAATCCTGGTCTCATTATTGGCATGGACATTTTGGAGGATTTGCTTTCAATGTTCCCTGCATTATTTCTCTCTGAACTACTTGTAAATAATTGAAGGTGAAATATTTCAGAACTCCAGGTGTCTGTTTAGAGTGAGTGGTTTGTAAGCATCAAATGGTTCTGAATCTAATTGACGTCCTCAGAGTTTCTCTGTGACTCTCACCTGTCTGCCTTTTTCCTGGAATGAGGCAGGTTAAATCTCAAGCCCTCGTGTTACCTCAGTGAGGTGTTTGTGTCTCACACCAAGGAATCATGAAATGGTTTGCATTGGAAGAGACCTTAGAAAATACTTGGTTGGGACTCACAGTACCCACCTTTCCCACATCTAGCTGGAGATTCCAAAGTCTCTGTGCTTGGGCGAGTGGCCATATCAGCTGCAGTGAGCATCTTCCCAAACACAAGTGGCAAACCAGAGTCTTCCAGTTAAGGATGTTACTGAGGGGCTTTTCCTTGTTTGGTTTGTTGTTTTTTTTTTCTTTTTAAAGGCAACCAATGTTAAAACTGAGACTGACCCTCCAGAGGCCAGAACTCACAATCTGAGACGCAGAATGGGCTGTGCCCCTCCAAAGAGTGAAGGTGGTGAGTGAAACACAGCATGAATCCAGTTTCTGTTACTTTGCACAAATGTGTTTTAAGACCAGAGCTAAAATCAGCAGTTAGAAGTATTTTTTACTTTATTCAAAGTATCTTATAAAAACCCCCAACTTTCAGTTAGTTTTAAAATTGGATTTTTTAATTAAAAAGCTGTTTTATGGGTTTGAAGTATTTTGGGTTTTTTTTTCCTTGTAAGTGGTTGAGTTTTCTTGAAGATGATATTTTCATTTGGAAAAGACTTTTTCAATCTTGGGTGTCTATTCTGGAACAAACAGAAATAAGATTGGAGCCATGTTTTGTATTTTAAATAATATCAGTGCATGAGCTTTAAATAGAAGAAACTCTTTTAAGAATGTATCAGATATCAGATACTTTTAGGAAAGAATTTTGACTTGAAATCAGGAAATTAAACTCATGAATGCAAAAGATAGTATGTTTTGAGGTTAAAGTTCCCATAATATAATTAAATTGCTGCTATCAGCAGTCCTGAGTCTGTTCTCTCCTTAAGAAATAATTATTTGAGACTGAAAAACAATATTTAAGCCATCAAACAGAATAATAAGCTTGTTAATAAATAATTTAGCCAAATAAATACAGGAACCATTTACAACTACTCAATAATTGAAATTACCTAAGCAATCTGTCAGTCTCATTTGTTCATTCAAAATCTTTTTTTCAGTAATTTGTTTAGATTATGGTGTTTGGTAATTTGATTTTTTTTCTTCAGGGTGTCTCTAAGGAGACTCTAAGTCTCCCTCAGGATCAGAAGGAAAAAGCTCTTGGCAACATTCTTTAACACCTGCTCATAATTCAATTAAAATTATTTGAAATGGCATATAAAGTACTGAAAAACTGTGGGCTGTGATAGCCAGTGCTGGCTCGTGGTGGTGTGCTGGGATTTTTGGATAACACTGGCTTTTGAAGGCATTGCAGGGGTTCAAGTCTTGCCCTGCACTGATTGAAACAAGTGTAGGGGGGATAACAGTTCAGCAAATGCCTTGGCATGGTGCAGTCTAGTCTAACAAGCAATAAATAAAACAAACAAAAGGAATGCTAAGCATTGAAACATTTTGTAAAACTCTCATATTTTTTCTTTGCTCAGACAAGGAAATTCGCAGTGTGGTGAAACTCCCTGAGAAGAAAGAACTTTCTGGGGAGCCAGAGAAGGACAAATCTAAAGTCAGATCTAAAAAACCCACCAATGCTGTAAGTACCCCTTTTCTTCCTGCAGCTGCATGTTTTGTAGACATTTCTGGATTTCTCTGGGGTGGGTAGTAAAACCTGCTGTCACTTTGCCACATGGAGGACTCTTGTCTTCTTCCTGGAGCCCCAGGCTGAAGCACAGCAGTGTTTGTGCCTGCTGGAATATCAACACTGCCAAAGCTTCCTGCTTCACAAAGCTTGAAATGACAGGATGGTTATTTCATTATCTATGACTAAAGTAACTTGTGTTCTGTCTCCAAAGTACAGTCTCAAAATAAGCTTTTTGAAAGCATAGTCCAGTGGAAGTGTTTCTTGTGTGACCTGATCCCTCCCCACTGCTCTGTAACCTCAGGGGAGCTCTGTTCAGGCTGTGGCACATGGCACTCCACAGACCTGCCCCTAATTCCACAGTTTCAGCACTAAATTGGAAGCTTTGTTCAAATGCATCTTAAAAATCCAACCCTGTTCCTGCTCCAGCTCTCCACAGGCCACCAAGTTTCCCCCAAAGCCCCCACCTGAAGGCAGTGGTAGTTGTCTCACTTTGGAGAAGATAATGCTGAGATTCTTTCTGCCCATGCTATAAAGTGGGTCTTTCTTAAAACCAAACATGTTATCATTCAATCCACACCTGTAGCTGGTACCTGAGAATGAAGAGTGCAAATAACAGAAGTCTGACACCCTTGTCCCCCAAATGAAAAAAGCCTGTGGGGAGGAGCAGGAGATGCTGCTGCTTTTTTTAGCAACATAAGGCAAGAGGTTCACTCCATCCCAGGTTGGAGTGCCTGTTCCTTGGGGCTTGGGAGCTGCTCTGTCAGAATTAAGAGCTGCCCCCCTACCCAAAACTCTACTGGAAGGTTGGTGCCTTCTCTGAGGAAAATAAGAAACACCCCCAGCAACAGGAACCCATTTCTCTCCCAATTTCTGTCTTCCAATGCAGTTGGTCTCAGAGAGGAATGAAACACCTGAGGCTGCACATGGGAAAGGGTTTGTGAGCCCCTAGCAGGTGTTGGGTTATTCCTGTCCAGCCCCAGGTGCTGGGTCATACCTGCCAAGGCCCCAGTGCTGCTGATGTGAACTATCCTGGCTCTCTGTCGAGTCTTCTGGCATTTGGGAAAAGAAAATGCATGGAAGGGCTTGCAGCTCTTGTGTTCTTTTCTTAAATTACAGAGGAAAGCATTTAAACTTCTAAAAGAGTATTCAGGGTGTGTTTGTCTCATTTCCATTGCAGATAAAGTAAGAATAAGCTTTGGGAAGTGTCACAGATGAGAGTTACCAAACTGCTTTCACCCTGAGTTACCTTCAGTGCTCCCATTCCTACTGTGGGATTTTGTGTTGCAGGTGGATTTGTATGTGTGTCTCCTGTGTGGCAGTGGGAATGATGAGGACAGGCTCCTGCTGTGTGACGGCTGTGATGACAGTTACCACACCTTCTGTTTAATTCCACCCCTCCATGATGTTCCCAAGGGGGACTGGAGGTGTCCCCAGTGTCTGGCTCAGGTAATCTGGCAAATCACTGCACTTAGGCCAATTTGTATTTTGTGGGTTCTTTTAAACTGATCACAGAAATTGAAAATACGATTTGTTGTTATTTAAGGTTGTTCAAAGGAGGTGATAGAGGTAAAGCTGAAATGAAAACTGGGAATGCTTCATATTGCAAAGGTGACACTTACTGTTTTGAGTCAAAAATTGGTGTGCCTTTGAAGAACATTTTGGATTTTAACTGACACCTTTTCTCTGTATTTAAAATTGGAGTCTCACTGGATGCTTCAGTGTGGTGATTTATGGGTCTTATCCTGTTGAGCTCTACTAGAGTAAGGAGAAATTAGGCATATTAATTCATTAAAATTTATGCAGATTTATTAAAAAACGTAGTGATTTGGTGAATCAAGCAGAGTTTCTTCTTCTGACTCTGCCCTTTGGGAGCCTTTTCATTTCAGTGGTGTCCTTCCTTCTCACCGCTCTGAAGCTGTTAGAGGAGCCCATTTGTGTAAATCTGAGCACAGTGTTGTGTTAATGTGTTATAGAAACAATTACCTTTTCACTCACAGGAGTGTAACAAGCCTCAAGAAGCCTTTGGGTTTGAACAAGCAGCACGGGACTACACCCTCCGCACATTTGGGGAAATGGCTGATGCCTTCAAGTCAGACTATTTTAACATGCCAGTACACGTATGTTCCTGCTTTATCCTCATGTTGTGTAGAGTGCATTTTGTGTGCTTAGCTAAAATAGGTAACTCTGGGGAGGGAGGAAGGGAGGGATTCTGGTTTTGAATGGGATGAAATCCCAAATCAGAGATTTGCATTTGCATCAGCGAATCCTGGTTCTTGCTGGTGTTGTGGTTTCTTGTTCCACCAGCTGCTTGTATTTTTATTTGTTTTTTTTCCCACTTTCGAAGTATCTGTAGGGAAGAGAACATTCAATGTCAGCCACTCCTGAGAGAACAGGGCAGCAGCAGCAGCTCCTGGAACCATGTCTCTGCTGCAGTTGTGCTCTTGTTGAAAAAATTTTAAAATGGGGAAAAGCTTCAAGCTAATGGAAGTTCCTCCCTGAGACAGCTTTGATGCACATGCTTCTTTCCTACTTTCCTCAGTACATACTTCCTTTTCTTCTCACACCTAGATGGTCCCCACTGAGCTGGTTGAAAAAGAATTTTGGAGACTTGTCAGTACCATTGAAGAGGATGTGACAGTGGAATATGGAGCTGACATTGCTTCAAAGGAGTTTGGCAGTGGCTTCCCAGTTAGAGGTGGGAAGTTTAAAGTTAGACCAGAAGAAGAGGTAGGTCTTTGAGTTCACTGTGAATGTTTTTACTGCAGCTTTTCATTTAATAACTCTCCTTGGTTCAAAACACAATAATGGAACTGGGTTGCAAAGTGTTTGTCTTGTGTATCTGGCAGAGTATTTGAAGAGAACTGCATTGGGGTTTTGAATAAATAAAATTTGTTGTGATCAGCCATTCAAAGCCTAGGTTTATTCTAGTAGTTAATAAATAACTTCCAAACCAAATAAAACCAAATAAAAAAGGTCTCATTTTAACAAAGGAAGTCAGGTCAGGGTTGTGAAAGAGGCAAAAACAATGGAGGGTTTAGTCTTTGAGTCATTGACCTGTATCTTATATTCCTCAGTTGGGAAAAGTGCTTTTCTTTCATTGCTATTGAGCAGTTTTATTTTCTTGAGTTTTTCACTTCCTGTTGTATAAACCTGCAAGTGTTCTGTTCAATTTACAGGAATACCTTGATAGTGGCTGGAATTTAAACAACATGCCTGTGATGGAGCAGTCTGTCCTTGCTCACATCACTGCAGACATCTGTGGGATGAAATTGCCCTGGCTGTACGTAGGAATGTGCTTTTCCTCATTTTGTTGGCATATAGAAGACCACTGGAGCTATTCCATTAACTATCTGCATTGGTGAGTGTGAGGAATAAACTCAGTCTAGGAAACAATCTCCCTTTCCCTATTCCCCTTAATTAGTGGACTAAAAGCAGATTTACAGAGCTCAGCTGTCCTGTTGCAGCAGGGTCAAATCTGACAATGTAATTCCTACATTGATTTACTTTTGGACAAGAGGTCATATTTTGGAAAGAGACATCCATTCCCAGTTTTAAAAAATCCATGAGAGATGCAGCAGATACTCCATCAAATGTTTTATTATACTCAATGTAAACTAAAAACCATACGAGTTTTCTTTTAAAAATCATCCAACTTTCAGCTAGCAGTTCCGGCACGTTTTGTCTGTTAGATGGATCATGCTGTCATAAATCCTTTCATCAAGCCAACACTTGTCAGCTGTAATCAGGACAGATCTTTGCCATCTCTTTGATATTCTAAATAGACTGAACTCCTTGAACTTCTCACCTTACAACAGCTTTTCTAAAGTCTGGATTATGGTTGTCACTCTTTTTGAAACCTGTCAAGCTCTTTCTCTTTCCTAGTTCATACGAGTATTCAAGCAGAATGTTAAAACCACATCCCAGCTGCTACTCAGTGGGTCCTTTTTGGTTGGTTATTTGATTGCTGCTCCTTGAAATAGCATTTTCTGCAGTGCAGTCCAAGAGCCAGTGACTTAATTCACTTGCTTTTGTGGTGCTTACTGTTACAAAAACAAATGTTTGAGTGAGGGTGAGCGAAGGAATGACAGGATTACATGGTAAAAACAGTCTTTTTTGTCATGTGTTACTGCTCTTTTTTCTTGTTGTCTGAGTCTTCAGTCAGACTGAAAACTGTGGGTGGGAGAGGAGGTTGCAGCACAGATTTAATTTCTTCTAGGAGAGTTCTTAGGATGGCTTTCTGTTCTCCATAGTGTTCCCCCAATTGCATTATTGTCTGCAGAAGGCCAGAAGGTGTGTCAGTGCTCAGGTGTACTTGTGCATACACAAGATACATCCAGACACACGTGAAAATGGCTTGACCTGCTTTCAATTTATTTATCCTCCAGCAGGAAAGTCCTTGATGCCTTTTAATTTGCAGTCTTCTTCTTTATTTCCCTTCAATGCAGAGGTTTATGTCTGCATTAGAGAGCAATGTGCAGATGAGGTTATAGCTGTTCCTGGCCAGAGCAGTCTGAACAATCTGCTACTGCAGAGACAGTGCTCCAAACTCTGAATCAAAGACTCCAAAAAGCAGCACTGGTTTTGGGAGAGTCCTAGGGATGGTGTGTCCATCCTCAGCATTCCCATGTGCCTTGGAGGAGCCTGTGTCCTGCCTGGTGCAGTGTTGTGAGCAGCTAATCCCAAGTGACCCAGGCTGAAGCAGCAGAGCTTTCCCAGGGTTGAAGACAATGGTCCTCCTAGAGAACTGTGAGTCCTGTCTTAGTTCTAGAAATGGTAAAATGGAAAAAAAAACCCAAACCTTTGCTTTTAAAGATGCTTGGAAATAAATAAGATGCCAGTCCTGGACAGAGGAAGAATTGCCATCATTGCTGCTAGTATTTGTACAGGCAGGGATGTGGCATAGTCAGGAAGCAGAACAATAAGAGCTGTGAGCTTCAGTGCTGCTCCCTCAGGCTGCTGGCACCTCCACACCTGCATTAGAACTATCTGTTACTTGTTCCTCTCAGGTCTAGAGACCCCCAGTTCCAGTATCCTGCTCCAAGTTTAGCACCTTATCTTGTCACCCATTCCTCAGTGCTGGCATCTATCAGGGAGCAGAGCTCTTGACTAAGCCCAGTACAGAGCTCTTGACTAAGCCCAGTCCAGACACAGGATGGTTTTTAGTTGCATCTGTGGCTAGTCTTCCTGGATTCCTAGAGTTGTCCCAGGATGATGGCCAGGTCCAAGGCTGCAAAGTTATTTAACACCCTGTAACAAGTCCTTGTGATACCTTGCGTGTAACTGTCCCTCCACAGTCCATCCTGCTGGCTGTCCTCTTCCCCTGACACGGGCTGTGTGAGTACAGGATTGAGCTCCTAGGGATGAGAGATAGATTTCTGGATTCACACTTCACTCTTTACTTTTGGAATCCTTCCACTTGCTTTGTGATTGATGGAAAAAAAATAACTCTGTTTGGTCAGTTTTAGTCTGCCAGCTCTTCAGAAGTCTTGGAATAAGGTGATTTGTCTGTTTTCCTTTCTAAATATCTTTTCTAAATTCATTTTTTCTAAGGCCTTGGAGGCATTTTTGTCTCAAGTGCTGCAGTGAGCCAGTGTCAGTGTAAGCTTGAAACAGTATCTGCTAGAACACATCTGCATTCCCTTAATTCTCTCAGCTGGCTTGCATTGGGTAAAGGTGGTGCTCAAAGTTCTTTGTTCCTACTCTGGACATGGATTTTTTTTTCCTTTGAAGTCTTGCATAATTTGGAAGTTTGATTTCTACTTCCTATGTGTTGCTTTTATGGCAGCTATACATAACACAGAAAGAACTGGCTTTGGTTGTTGGACCCAAGAGGAAGTTTGTGTTCATGGGAAAAGACAGGCAGCTTATGTTTTGAAGTTGTGCTGGAATCAGCAGAACTTCACTGAGGACTTTTTCAGACTTTTTCTCCCTCCCCCACAATATTTGAAGTACCTGCTCAGAAGTGTAGGCAGTTAAAAATAGGTCTGGAGAAGATGGACCTGTACAAAATGCAAAGATTCAGGAAGGTACAGAACCTGTGCATTCCTTCCTGGTGATATACCCTTCCTTTGACATGGTGTGTTTTAAAGCAGAAGACTAAAAATGTAACTTAAAGTTTGCTTATATTTAACTTTTTTTAATAATCTTGCAGGGGGGAGCCTAAAACGTGGTATGGAGCCCCAGGGTACGCAGCTGAGCAGCTGGAGGATGTAATGAAGAAACTTGCTCCAGAGCTATTTGAGTCCCAGCCAGATCTCTTGCACCAACTTGTCACCATAATGAACCCGAACACTTTGATGGCCCACGGGGTGCCTGTATGTGTCGGACTCCTGTGCTACTCCCCCAACCCAACCCTCTTTGATTGGAACGCTACTTAAAGCTGATAATTGAAGCCACTTTTATGACAGAGGTGGTGTGGTGGTTTCCTTGTGTGTTGCATCTTCCTTATCCACTATAATGTGCCAGTGTGAACAGATGGGCAATGGAATTGTTGCCTTTGGAACCGACTGGCAGACTCTTCTCTGGAGATCTATCTTGGATATTTCTATTTCTGTGTCTCAGCTGGAAGGTTTAGGCTTTACCTTTGGAACAATGGCAGGAGCTCTTGTATGTCTGTTCAACCAGACACTGCTTTTTGGCATAGAGTTTCTGTCAAGGGCCCAAACCCCATTCTTCCTTTATTTGTCATCCACATTCTCTTATTTTTCCTGGATAAGTCCTTTGGTGTTTAAAAAACATTTTTTCATCAGATTTCATCTTACTCCATACTAGATTATTCATGGGAATTATGTCCCTTTACAACTTAATTGGCTTTTGATGAGCTGACCTTGGGACTTAAAGGAAAATCTGGAAAAAGTAGGAAAATTTCTGGCGTCTCCTGTGGTAGCCTCCAAAATGGAAAGATGCAGAAAGACCTGCCTGCTTTCATGCTGACTGTTTAGCCCCAACAGTCTTAGATGAATAATAATATGAATATTAAAGTTCCCAATTTCTCTTCCCCTTCAGCTGCACATTGGAGAGAGCTGGATCTGTGTTGGCCCTAACCCTGAGGTGTGAGGAGCACAAGGCCCAGCCAGCCAGCCTAGAACTGTTCAGAGTGGGGTGTGGCTGAGTGGAATCCTTGGCTTTCCAGGGTTTTACATGGCACTTTATCAGCTGCCAGTTGTAATTCCTGGGCTTATGGTTTGAAACTCTCAGGAGTCCTCACAGAAGTTACTGCGAGTTGGGAATCCATGTTCTCCTTGCAGCTGCCAGCTGTGTTTGGGTGTGAGCTAATGCTGGCCTGTGTGTCCCCCCAGGTGTACAGAACCAACCAGTGTGCTGGGGAGTTTGTGATCACCTTTCCCAGAGCTTACCACAGCGGCTTCAACCAGGGCTTCAACTTTGCTGAAGCTGTGAACTTCTGCACCGTGGACTGGGTATGTTCCAAACCAGTTTTTCCCTAAGTGAGCAGTTCCAAAGCTGTTCCTAGCTGGTGTTCAGCTCTGATTTATTGCTGATGCACAAATCTAGACCACAGATCAGAAGGAGCCTGTTGCTGGCAGCATGGTGTTTGCTGAAATGGTTTGTCATGCACTGAACTGTGGGCTTCCTCTGGTTCTGAAGATTTGGTTTTAGGATTATGTATCAGAGCTGGTGTAGCTTTTGCAGCAGGAGGGAGGCACAGTCCTGTACATGCCTGGAGTATGAGATGCACCAGTACTGCTGGAGTTTGCTCAGTTTTGTGTCCCCAAATTCCATCTCAAATCAAAAGCCGGAATGAAATTTTTCAGTTTATTGCGCTGGGAATTCTCTAAGAGGTGCTTTCTGCAGCTGGAAATCAAATCCATCTTGCATATCTTTTCTGCTTTAGCTTCTGTGATAAAGTCAGAAGATACATGTAGTACATTAATAAGAGTTAAAGACATTGATAGTCCTCTTGGGGTGAAAAAAAATAGGAACTGCACCTCATGTGAGAGCATCCTCTTAGGTAGCAGAGGTGCTCCAGGTTTTTGTGGAAGAGTACCTTAATGAGAAGAGAGCAGAAAGTTCTCCAGTTCAAATGGAAGATTTACAGAGCAGTGCTTCACTCAGCTCACTGAGCCAGCAGAGATGGACACACGTTACCTGTTAATAACATTACAGTTAGCAGGTAGAGTTATTGAATAAGATCTTTATCTTTTTTAAAATAAACACAAATGGTGGACAGTTGTTCCAAAGTTACAAGTAATTTTACCTTCATAGCAAATGATTCAGATGCACAGTGCTGTCTGATCTCAGAGAGATTCTTCAGAGATTCTGATATTTCAAATTACTTATCTTGTGATTTTTTTTTTCTCCCCTAAAGGTCTTGGCTATTCATAGGTGTAGCCAAACAAAAACATTGTTAGATGTAAAAAAACATTACTTAGAAGAGGGAGATGACTGTTATTGCAAGAAAGCTTTCTGCTCTTGACTGTGCTCATGTGTCAGTTGGTTTGGTTTGGTTTTTCCTCTTGTTCTTCTATGAGCTTCACACTGGACCCAACAATAACATAAAACATCATTGTACTCGGAGCATTCCTGTCTGCCTGGCCTTTAAATGGAGCTGAGTGACCTGCCCAGCTCAGGATGAGCTGTGTGCTCTGCCTGCTGCCAGTTAGGGCCATCAGTGCTCCCTGAGCCAGCAGTTTCTCGTGCTGCAGCACAGTTCATGTCAGCAGAGAGAAGGCCCAGGGTGCTCTGCACCTGCCTGGGATGGGGCATCCCTTGAGTAGAAACAGGCCAGGCTTATGTACTTGTCCATTTGATACTTCCGTGGCCTCAGTGCATTTTTATCTTGGGTCTTCCTGAACCCACTGTGGTTTAGTGATTTAGTAACCCTTAATTACAACCTCCACAAGAGAGGGCTTGTCCCTCAGCTATACAGCTCACACCCGTAGAGTCCACTGGGAAAGAGCCATAAGCATTCCTGGTGTGCACAACTTGGGATCTCGATTTCTCTAGTTTTACACTCTGAAGTATTTCTGCTGGAAGGATTTCAACCGCTACTGCGTCTTCTCCCACGACGAGATGATCTGTAAAATGGCTTCCAAAGCAGATGTCCTGGATGTTGTGGTGGCATCTACAGTCCAGAAAGACATGGCTATTATGATTGAAGAGGAGAAGAGATTGCGTGAGAAGGTTGATAAACTGGTGAGTTGTAGGAAATAATGGTTTGGGTGGGAAGGGACTTTAAGGGTCATCTTTTTCCATCCCTTGCCATGGGCAGGGACACTTTCCACTAGACCAGGTTGTTCCCAGCCCTACCCAACCTGGCCTTGAGCACTTGGAGGGATGGAATTCATTATAATGAATGCAGTAACAGTTGAAACAGTGATGTGAGAACATACTGGTTCTTGTACTGGGGTGTCAGAGGCTTAGAGGTACCTAGTCCCTTCCTACATTGTGGATTTCAGGGGATATCTGGGTTAAGAATCATTGGTCATGCACCTTATTTATATATGTACCTGCCCTGTAATGTTCTTCAGAATGTCACTTTTAAGGTAATATTTGTACTTCCAGTCATTTGGTCAGGAAAGCGGAATTTTTCATTAACCAAGACTTCTGTCTACCTGGGTTGAATATCTTATATCTAAACTTCATTATTCATTTGATAAACTTACCTTCTGATGTTTTAGCTTGGAATAGCCTCCCCTTTGTAACAGTCACTTCTTCACTGGGCTTTGATGTGACACTCTTGCAGGGAGTGACTGACTCGGAGAGGGTGACGTTTGAGCTGTTCCCTGATGATGAGCGACAGTGCCTGAAGTGTAAAACCACTTGCTTCATGTCAGCAGTTTATTGTCCTTGCAAGCCTGGGTTGTTAGTGTGCTTGTACCACATTGAGGACCTCTGTTCCTGTCCCACCTACAAATACAAACTGGGGTAAGCTTGAAGTAGTAGCTAACAACGTGGTCTGGAGATAGTATTGTCTGTGTAGATACACAGTAGTGTCTGTGGTTTGGTAATCTCTGCTGCCAGTGGGGCTGGCCTCTGTTTCTGTTTCAGTCCTTTGCAAATCCAGTGCCCCCACAACAATGGGACTGTTTTGTGCTCACACACAAAATGCTCTTCACCATTCAGCTCTTCTTGCTCTATAATGGCAAAATTGCTGGCTAAGTTAGTTTGCATTTTATTTATAGCAACTGGGTCACTGTCCCTTAGATCCAGTCCTTGCCAAGGAGTATTGTTTTGCTTTTTGGAGCTTTCCTTCTCATTGTTAACTTTCCTGTGCTGTTTAGTACATCTTTTGTCCTACATGAATGTAGCACGCTCTAAGACAGTGTCACAATTCCTTAATTGTCCCATAGAAATTGCTTTTTGAAGCAATTACAGGTTTGAAATTAAAAGGAACACGGTGTGGTTGTAAGGTCTTAATTTTGTAACCCTGAGTGCACAGAAGCTTATTTCTCTTTTGTATGGACCAACACACCTTAGAATTACCAAATGGTTTGGTCTGGAAGGGACCTTAAAGCCCATCTCATTCCATCCATGCCATGGGCAGGGACACCTTCCAGCAGTCCAGGTTGCTCCAAGCCCCATCCAACCTGGGTCCTCATACTGGTGCCCTTCCTTCCACCCTCGTGCTGCCCACGGTGTTGCTGGAGGTTTGAGTCGTGTGCTGCCCGCAGGTACCGCTACACCCTGGAGGAGCTGTACCCGATGATGAACGCGCTCAAGATGCGCGCCGAGTCCTACAACGAGTGGGCTTCCAACGTCAACGAGGCCCTGGAGGCAAAGATCAACAACAAAAAAAGTGAGGATCTTACCTACAGCCTGTAGCACATCATTTAAAAGAACTAATTTTTCAGTTTTTTGTTTCTGAACTGTAGTAACTTTTTTCTTATGTGACAATCAAAAGAAATCATTTATCACTTCATGTATTTAAGTAAATATTTGAGCTGTTACAGTCCCAGAAACGATGCTAAGTTGTCTCTGTGTGACAAGACTGTAAATCACTTTGATACAAAGTGTAACTGAAGTACAAATAGAAATAAATTTAATGTGTTGTGTTTCTAAGCCTTACCATGGAAAATCCATCACAAAGGGAGCCTTCTTATCTTAATGTCTTTCCCAACAGGTCTCATCAGTTTTAAGGCTTTGATAGAAGAATCAGAAGTGAAAAAGTTCCCAGACAATGACCTGCTGCGACACCTCCGGCTGGTGACACAGGACGCGGACAAATGTGCTTCAGTGGCCCAGCAGCTGTTGAATGGCAAGAGACAGACCAGGTGAGTTCCACTCCATGTCTACAGCAAAATTGGGGCACCAGAGATGGATGTCAGTGGCCAGTGATGGATGCTAGTGCTCTGCAAGAATTGAAAATTAAAAGAATCTTTGTCTCCTCAGCAGAGCTATCTTTGACAGGGAGATTTGGCTTTACTACATGTAGTAAGTTAAACATCCTGAGTTTTCAAATCTCTTCTTCCTCTGTGTTTGACAGTTAGTCTGTAAATTCATTTTAGTGTTCCCAGAAAAGAAAAGATGGTGTGGTATGTCCAGAAAAGTTTCACTCAGCAAGATACAGTCCCCTTGTCTTTGTGCTGTGGACACTGTAAATCTGTCCATAGTGCAGGTGGTGTTGTATTCATTACTCTCTGTCTTGTGGAAAAGCAAAGTGCTTTAACTCCCTGAGCTGCTGCTGGTTGGAATGTTGTATGAGAGCTCTGAAAAAATGACTACTCTTTACATCAAATCTTTTAGACAGGTTATTTGCTCAAGGGATTTGAAGTAGGGCAGTTTTCTTTGTGAACTGCCTGCTGGTCCTGCAGGTACTCCATGTCTGAAATTAGCTGAAAAGAGCCGGAGCAGAAGGCTAAGGCTTCTCCTCATTGCACAAGTCTAGTTGTGCCTGTATTGATGTAAGAGTCTTTCTCTCAGGATTCACCAACTACCAATTTCTGTTGTGTCATTCTTCACCCATAGATCCCAGACTGGTTTGGGTTGGAAGGGACCTTAAAGCTCATCCTGTTCCACCCCCCTGCCATTGGCAAGGACACCTTCCACTATCCTGGGCTTCTCCAGCCCTGTCCAGCCTGGCCATGGCCACTTCCAGGGATGGGGAAGCCACAGCTTCTCTGGGCAACCTGTGCCAGAGCCTCACACCCTCACAGGGAACAATTCCTTCCCACTATCCCATCTAATGCTGCCCTCCTTCAGCTTAAAGCCATTGATCAGGGCACCCAAACTCATCATGGGCACATTGAGCCTTACAGGATGGTGATTTCTAAGAAAATGTTGCATTTATGGACGTGGAGAACAGTATGGCTCATATCCACCAATCTTAAGTGTGAAGTACTTCAGAAAGAATTGATTGTAATTTTTCCCATTTGGAGAATTTTCACCCATTTCTGCTGCTTTGAACAAAAAAAAGTTTTTTGTTCAAAATGGTGTTTTTTGGAGCAGTTGCCTTTTGTGCTGGTAGAAGTGCACATGTATGGTTCCTGCATATCACCTGCCTCAGAGGTCATGGAGCTCATCACTCCTTTGTTCTTGCAGTACTTTGAAGACTGGCTTGGTAGGACTTAGGGGATAAAGTGTTCTGCTGTCACACTTAGACATGATTCTTGTCTTCCTTCCTGGTGTTCCCTCTGTAAGCCTTTGTTGTAAGAACTTGATAAAAATTCACTTTGCTGTCTTGCACACACAGAGGATGAAGCCTCTGTCACAACAACATAAAAAACTGCAACAGGGAATGAAAAATTCCACACTCCCCCAGGCACGTCTTCTGCCAGACAGGGAACTTGAACCTAGAGATTTGAAGCACCATCATCAAAGGACTTGTCCACTTCTGATCTCCTCCTTCATTTGGTGTTGAGCCAGCTCTTCTGGCATCCCCAGTCTGTGCCCTCCTATCCCTGGTGCTTGTCCATGTTTTCCAATGCTGAACTGGGAGCAGCAGCCAGGCCCTTCCCAGCTTCTCTGTGCCACATGGGTCCTTCCTGCACTGAATGTGTCCCTGACTTTATTTGGCCTGGGATGAGCTGGGAGCAATTTTTGTCTTCATCTCCTTAACTAGGTCTGTTCTTTTGTCACCATGAGAGGCTCTCAGCCTTCCTCACAGCTGGGCCTGCCAGCTCCTGCAGCATCCCAGACTGTGACGAGTAATTGACCCTGTGCTGCTGCTGTACACAGTGTCAAGGCAGTGCTTGCATTGAGATTCTTATTTGCTTTAGAAAAGGTTTTAATCCTTCTCTCACCATTTCTTCTTGGATCTTTTTTGGCATGTTTCTGGGAAAAGTCCGTCTTCACATCTTCATAATTTTTAGGAGTTTTAAAACCCATGTTACTTGATTATTTTTTTTCTTATAAGGTTGAAGTGGAGAATGTTCACAGCTTTTGAAGGAAGATATAAAGAAGAGAATTATCTGCTTAAAATCTTACTACATGTTACATTACATACAGATTCATGTGCCTGAAGCTCACATCTGCAGGATGCTTGACAACCTCCATTATGCCCAGTGCCAGGTGTTGGTTAGGAAGGATTGTGGATTCTGCCTAAAATTTGGTTTGTGCTGTTGGCAAACTTTCTACAGTGGACTGAGCATTTTGGTCTGATCCCGAGTTTGGAAGACTTGTCTCCTATAGGAAGGTTGTCCCTGTCAGTCACAGCAGTCAGTGGCACTGGGGAATCTCCTCCAGTACAGTAAACACAGCAGTTCATGGGTAATAAAGCATAGCAAATCCTGTGACTCCTGCTCACCAGCTCCTTTGCAGTAGCTGAAGAGATGCAAATGAGTTGTACATCCCTGTTTCCTCTGGTTCTTAGTGCTGGGTGATTAAACCCTCACAGATGCTGGCTTGGAGATGTTCTGTGAACATCTGGATGGGGCCAGAGCACCGTGTGGCCCTTGTTCTCCTGGCACTGGAAGGCAGCAGTGTTCCTGCTGCCATGTTTAACCCCTGCCTTCTCTAGGTCTTCTGAAACCTATTCTGTGCCTTAGAGTCTCTGAGAACTTGTCCTTGGAGACCTTTGTGATTAATAACCCTGGACAGACATGGGTTTGGCGTCTGTCAATGGTTTTTCCTAGGCTTATGTAATTTCTGGTTTTCAAAAACATCTTGTGACAGCTTTGTTTAGATATGTGTATGTATATAAATATTTATGTATTTAAAAACTTGTGCCTTTTCTTGAATGACACTGTGGAGCTTACTCAAAAACCAGTAGAACAAAGGAGCCTGTAAAGAAACCTGTGTTGTACCTGAGGCTTTGAATTCATTTTATTGTTCAGCTGACTGTGGGGTTTGGAGCTCCCAATGTGATCCTGTGTATCTGTTAAAAATACACATTTTTAACACAGAATAGTAAATTAAAATTTATTTTGTAGTGTTCACATTCCAGTCATGCTGGCATATCCTGCTGGGCTGTTCTCCTCTTTTGTATAAATAACACACTGTGGATTCAATTGGAGCTCGCATTGTAAGGGATCTCTTTCCTTTTCTGTTCAGGGTTCTCAGATCTCATTAATACTGGCTTGAGTTTAGAGAGGCTTTTAATACTGGGCAATTTGTTAACACTTATAAGCCACTCATTTGATTCAAAGCTTTTAGATAAAAATAAAAATGCTGATTTCAGTGTAGAGAGGATTTTTCAGAAGTGCCTACACAACCTGTCAATATAAAACCCATTCAGAATTGGGATTTGTTCTCTTTTGGTGTGGGCATGGGCAGAGCTGACTACAATAGCTACTGCAACATAACTGAATAGTTTATCCACAGTTGCTTTGTGTTCTGGAAAAAAAAAGCTTAATTTTATTCCATAATAACCAGTTCCCTTCCACGGCTGAGTAGTTGTTCCAGAATCCTATTTAATATGAGTGTTTCAACAATAGCCCATTCTGCAGTGGCAGACTGAGGTTTCCCACGTGTGTGAGCCCTGGGCTGCTTGGATGCTTGTGAATATTCTGCTATTCCTGAAGAAGGCCTGGCTGACATGAAATCCTAAGGAGATGTCTGGGAATCAGAAAAAATCCCTGAACGGTTTGGGTGGGAAGAGACCTTAAAGCTCATCTTGTTCTACTCCCTGCAGGGACACCTTCCACTAGCCCAGGTTACTCCAAGCCCTTTCCAACCTGGCCTCAAAGTTCAGTGTTTTATCTTTATCCCTTTCAGTGATAACAGGAAAGCTGGTGGGTGTTGTTGCAGGTACCGCTCCGGGGGAGGGAAGTGCCAGAACCAGCTGACGGTGAACGAGCTGCGGCTGTTTGTTAGGCAGCTCTATGCCCTGCCCTGCGTCCTCAGCCAGACACCACTGCTGAAGGTAACCTGGGGAAGCCTTGGGAGGGGAGCAGGAGCATTTACAGAGTGATGGGTTTGCTCTGCCTTCATCTCCTAGCTCACAGTTTGCTCCAAGAGTTAATACCTGGGCACTGGCAGGCTGGGCTGACCTGTGCACATGGGATGCTGAAGAAGGGAGCTCTGACCAGCTGCTGTTTGTGGTCAGCAGAGTTTTATACTGCACAGGCAAATCAAACCATTCATATTGTATGAAGGACTGTAGAGAAGGAGCAGGATCACCTGGGTAACTGCAGGTTAAAAGTTTGGGTCAATTAGCTGATCTGCTCTTACGAGTAAAGCCAGGTTAATCTGAGAACATTCAAACTCCCCAGTGCTCTGAGGGACAGCTCTCTCATTTTTACCACTTTCCTTCTTTGTTGATCCAGAATCAGCTTTTTCAGTCTTGTAATTAGATCCCTCAGTGCTCTCAACTCACATTCCAGGAAACCCCACAGATAACTCCAGCCAAACCCAGCCCAGGCTGGCCAAATCCTCTGTAGCAGAGAACCTGCTGCTGGCAGGAGTCAGATCACTGTGAATCCCGTGACCACCAGCTGTGCTGGTTCTGTGCTCCCCAGATGATGAGCCCTTAGGCAAACTGAAAGCAATTCAAAATCTTGTTTCAGAATTTTCCAAAATATTCCACGTCACACTGAGGGGCAATTAAAAAAAAAAAAATTCTGTGCAGCTGCAATTCCTGTCTTAAGGAAGGGTTTTATATATTCGTGACACTTGAAACCTGGAGATGCTGTGTCCAGCTCTTGAACTGTCCCTTAAGTATCCACCAACACCGAGACACCAAATGGTACCATGTAAATGAATGGGAATAAACCAGTTTAACTCAACTTTGCTGCTTTGGAAGCTTTATTTGCCCTGCAATCTGTGGATCAGATTCAATGCAGTCCTATTTACAGTTATTTGTTCATAGCACTGAAGCTGTGAAGTTATCTTGCTGCTTGAAAAGCAGAAATTTGGAAATGCCAGACATGCAAACAGTTCCTCTCCATCTGGCATTCCTGAACAGGGAAATAACAAACACATATGGTCAGAGTATTCCTTTGTATCATCCTCAACAAGCCTCAATTCTGTGTCATTGTGCAAATATTAGACTGTTGATATAAATGACCAACATTACTGGAGATGGGTTCATAATTCAGTCTATCTCTAAAAAGTGTTTTATTTCCATGCTGGGGGAGGTTCCCCACCCTGGGAAACAGCTTCACTGGCAAAATGCCAAGATGTCAGCTGTGAGGGAAGAACTTCCTGCAGGAACAGCATTTCAGGCAGTACTGGGCAGGTTTCTCCATACAGAATAATCCCACCCTTCACTGTGGGATTGCTCTGGATGACTGTCCTTTATCCTGGCGAAAGTGCAAACAGCCCCAGAAATACCTTTTGGGGCAATGAGCTGCTGACTGCATGGAGAGAGAGAGAGAAGGTGAGCCCTGCAGGAGAGAGTAAATGCCTGTGGCTCACTGGGACTATGGGGTCCAGCTCAAAAGCCTTAGTAGTGCAGCAGAAATGAACTCCAGTACCTCTGTACCCTTCCCAGTGTTTTGCAAAGTCTTCATGCTGTTCCTCAGCTGCCTGAACCATTCCAAAACAAAGCCAGACAGCAGCAGCCATGGAACACTCAATTTCCCTTTACATCCTTTCTGTTCTTCCAAGCCCTCTTTCTGACACCTCTGGGACTGGGATTGCCTTGTTCTGGGATACCCAAACTTGCAGCCACCTTACATAGGAGGTGCTGGCAACACTGTGTGTTGAGGACACTGTTGGAGTGTCCCAGCCCTTGGGATAATTTGCCATGTGCACTGTGTGCATTGCAGCAGGGCCTTGCCAGGAGCCTGTGCTCTCATTGTTAACCCCATGGTTAACTTAGCCGCTTCCACGGTTAAGTGACTGATTTATTGTTGCATTTGTGTATTTCAGGATCTCCTTGACCGTGTGGAAACTTTCCAACAGCAAAGCCAAAAGCTCCTTTCTGAAGAGATGCCCAGCGCTGCCGAGCTGCAGGAGCTGCTGGATGTCAGCTTTGACTTTGACGTGGACCTGCCGCAGCTGCCGGAGCTGCGGACGCGGCTGGAGCAGGCGCGCTGGCTGGAGGACGTGCAGCTGGCCTGCTCGGAGCAGAGCTCCCTCACTCTGGATGACATGAGGCGTCTCATAGACTCCGGGGTGGGGCTCTCACCCTACCCCGCGGTTGAGAAGGCGATGGCGAAGCTGCAGGAGCTCCTCACCGTGTCCGAGCACTGGGATGACAAAGCCAGGAACCTGATAAAGGCCAGGTAGAGCTAAACATAAGTTTAGCTTTTTTGTTTGTGTTTTGTTTTGTTTGCATTTTGTAATTCTGAGTTGTTTCAGAAGGAAGTGTCCTGACTCCTGGAGGGACTCCCCTTTGTTCATCCAGTTCCCAGCATGAGGGCAAAGCTTGTGCTGGAAGGGACGGGGCTGGAGGAGGGGGATGAGGGATGGAGCGGTTTAAGGTGTCAGGGTTGCCTTGCAGTGTTTGTGTTGCTCAACCATCTTGTGTAAATCCTCCTTATGCCACAGGGAAGGGGTTTAAGATGCCTCTTCCTTCTTTTCCACCTTCCCCCCTCCCCAGTTTCAGGTGTTCAGATGAAGCTCAGGTAGGTTCCACCAGCAGGTAAAACTTCATAGTCCATAGAGGTCCATGTAGGACATTTCTCACTAACAAGGATGAGATTTTTCCAGATTAATTGGTGCAGGGAAGGAGGAAATAAGCCAAATACATCCTTACTAAGAAAAATTTTCTTGTGTTTTTTACCTTCTGATTTATAAAGTAAAACAGAGGAAAGCACAGTGTACTTAAAAATTAGGGATGTGGCACAAACTTATGTGCCAGGTTTCATCCCTCAAGATTCCTTTCTTTTCTTAATTTTGTCATACTTGGAGTATTGGAACATTTTTTACCCACTACTAACCATAGTGTTTTAAGACAACTTCATATAGGGCATTACTGACTATGCTTGGGTTTAACATTCAGTAGAGAGCTGTGTTGTGTTTGTACCTCACCAGAACCTCAGAATCAAACTGGGAAACATAGAAAAGCCAATTTCAGGGTTTTAACCTTCTAATGCAGAATCTCTTACGTGGTCCTGGTCTGGAGTTTGGTGGGTGTTTGTCTACCAAAAGTTAATAAAAGATAAATATTCCTTAAGTCCAAATGTGAGAATATTCCTAGTAGGAATCTAGAGTAAGCAAACACATTTTTAAACCTCCCCTGCACCTGACACCCCAGCTCTGCTGGGTGCAGCCAGTACTGAACATATCATCAGTTGGTGTGAATCTCTGATTTTAATAACCCAGGTGAGTGGAAGAGCCAGCCCTGTAAGCAGCATCTCACATCTGGGCTGTTGTGTTCCCCCAGGCCCCGGCAGTCCCTGAGCAGCCTGGCAGCAGCAGTGAAGGAACTGGAGGAGATCCCAGCCTACCTCCCAAATGGAGCAGCACTGAAGGATGCGGTGCAGAAGGCCAAGGACTGGCTGCAGGAGGTGGAGGCTCTGCAGGTACGTGGTCCTGGCTGTCACCAGAGCCACCCCACACCCCATGTTGTGCTCTAGTGTTGCTCTGATTGAGAGCAGCCAGTCTGGGATATTGGTTACCTTCAGCCATGGAGCTGCCCTGATTCTTGCTTCTGTTTCTGGTCTGTGTTCCTTCACCTTTGCACCTAACTGCTTGCAATAAAGTGTATGAAACAGCTGTTCACAAAAATCTGAAGTTAAAAAGTTACTGCATTATGGGACTTAACCTTAAGGGCACTTTTGTAGCATCTCCCTGTTAATCACATTTTTGTGTACTACACTGAGATGCAGATACAGAAGTAGTTCCTGGCTCAGCCTTGCGAGTGCTCAAGCCAGGGGTCAGTGGGACTGTCCAGATCAGACCAGGGAGGCACTGGGATAGCCCTAATTTCACATTTTGGTATAAATTGCCAAATATTTTCGTTTGTTCCCCTTTTTTTTCTATAAAGTGAGCTCTAATCTAGCTTAGGGAAATTTTCAGGCCCCTCTGGCCTAAACTGGGCTTTTGATAAAAACTTCTTTTGAACTTTTATTTTAAGAACTAATTTTCCTGGATTTAAATATTTTGAAGGAATAAAATTCATATAATACTAACTTTTATTTAAGGGCTGTCTTGAAAGAACTTGAGTGATTTTTTTTTTTTTCCTGGCATTTGCTAATTTCTTGGTCTGGACTCTGAAATTCTGCCTCCTGAATATGGAAAACTACTTCTGTCTGTGCCAAGAATTTTTGCTTCGGTTCTGTGAAGGTTTTGTTAAATGCCTGCAGTCACTGTGACTTGCAGGAAGTTCTTGGCATCAGGACTTTGAAGTTGTTAGAGGTGTTGGGGTTGTTTTGGTGATTAGTTCTCCAGTCCCACATCAACTGCCTGTTCTAGAAATTACCTTTGGAATTACCTTTTGTGCTGCTTTAGCTCTGGGTGTGTGGTATCTGCATTGCCTGAGGTGTGGGGTGCCAAGGGAATGGCTGGAGCTTGCTCCCAAGTGGCACACAGGATATTGGAGCTGGTTCTCACTCTTGGCCTGGCACAGCCTGGGTTAAATTTGTCTTCTGGTGCTGTAGCTCCCTACAGTACCTGAAAGGAGGCTGGAGCCAGGGGAATCACAGTTTCCTTCCAGGATGAGAGGAAACTGCCTCAGGTTGCACCTGGGGAGATTCAGGGTGGATGTTGGGGAAGATTTCTTTACTGAAAGGAGCCTGCCCAGGGTAGAGTCACCACCTTGGAGGGATTTAAAAGATATATGGATGTGACACTTGGGCACATGGTTTACTGGTGGCTTTGACAGTGCTGGGTTAATGACTGAAATTGATCTTGGAGATCTTTTTTCAATGTTAATAACTATGATTTTATGATCTCAGAATTATTTTGATTTTCTGCTGTGAATGCAGTGTGAGACTGGAAGGCTGCTTATATTGCTGGCAGTCTCTGGTTTTGTTCTCTTTTCTTTTTAAAGGATCATTTTGCATGTGTATTCTTGCTTCCCAGCCCCAAAATGTATTGTTAGTTTTGTCTGGTAGTCAACGACTAAGTGCACAAACAGCACAAATGTTGGACTGATAGTGCAGGTCACTGAGCTGTCTGAGCATTAAATTTTACAATTTATTAATTTTACAATTAAATTAAATTTTACAAGCTCTGCCCTGAATTCCTTGAGTGTCTGCTTTGACTTGGGCAATGTCTTGGGTGCATCCAGCATTTCCTCATTTCCAACCCTGCAGGTTGGGGGCCGTGTGCCTGTGCTGGACACGCTGGCGGAGCTCGTCACGAGAGGTCGATCCATCCCAGTGCACCTGGATTACCTGCCCAGGCTGGAGGCCCTGGTGGCTGAAGTGCAGGTGTGGAAGGAGTGTGCAGCAAACACCTTCCTGTGCGAGAACTCTCCATATTCCCTTCTGGAGGTGAGAGGTGTGGGCTGGGGATCAGCCTGGTCAGTCATGCACAGGCAAAAGGGCTCAGTGTACACCCAGGAAGGAGCAGTAAATATTGAATATATTTGCAGAATTGCTTTAGGATTACATTTTAATAGCAACTTTTGTTAGTGATGTATACTTCTAATAATAGTTTTAAACTTCTAAAATGCTTAAGATTTAGCTATGTTTTCTCTATTCTTCTTGCTCAGTGGCTAACAGGAGCAGTCAGTGCCAGTGTCTAACATTTTCCCATGAATATGGGAATACTGACAAATTTGTGGCATTTCATCCTTTGCTGCCTCTCCTCACTTCCAATAGGCCTCCCAAGCTGAATATTGCTGGTTTTAACCAGTGCATCAGGCCAAGCTGCAGGTGAACAGGTTCCTACCTGCTCCATCCCCCTCAGGATCAGGTGGGGCTGTGTTTGCCACCCCTCTGGAGCTGTGGCTGTGTCACTCCTGCAGTCCTTGAGCAATGTACACTCTGCCCAGCACTGAGGCCCTCTGAGCCCCCTCCTGTCAGGAGACAGGAATGTAGGGCAGCTCCTGGAATCTCTGCTCTTTCCCAGGGTTTGCAGCTTCAGTCCCATGGAGGCTCTTGGGCATGTTGGCTCTCTCTCTCCCCCAGTAGTCTGGGTGAAATACAGGGTTTTTTTGGGTCTGGCTGTTTTACAAAGCTGAAGTTCCAGCTTTTCAGCTCTCCTTACCTTCCAGATAACCTCATCCTAATCCCTCAGATCTTTGACAGAATAACTGCAGGAACCCTCGTTCTCACCAGTTACCTGTGGCTGCATCCTGGCAGGAAAGTGCATAAGGAACAGTGCAGGTGTAACACTGCTGTTGTGTTCTTCAGGTGTTGTGTCCCTGGTGTGACATTGGGATGCTCAGTCTGAAGAGGAAGCAGAAGAAGCTGAAGGAGCCAGTGCCAAGTGGCAAGAAGAAAAGCACTAAGCTGGAGACACTGAGTGACCTGGAGCGGGCGCTCTCCGAAAGCAAGGACACTGCGTCTGCGGTATGTGATCACATCTTTCCTAACTGGAATTTCTTCTGAATTCCTTGAATCCTGTTTGCCTCCCATGCAGGAGTGTGGCAGAGTGCTGCTCTGCAGGATTTCTGGGTCTGCACTTTTCTGCGTTTGCTTCAGACTTCCCAAAATTGCTTTTGATGGAAACAACGTGTTTTCAAAGAGCACAGTAACCAGCACCACTTGCAATTCAAACAAACTCTCTAAATAATTAAAGAAAGCCTCATGTGTTATGGAGTCACTGAAACACTGCACTGGGTGGAGCAGACTCAGTTGCTGGTGGGGAAGAGCTTCATTCCAGCAGACCTAGTGCAGAGCCTCCACCTGGGCCAGGTAATGATGTCCTGTGGCTAATGAGATGCAGGATGGGCTCTTTGGGTGGGGCTTGAATGTAATTTATTGTGGGTCATTTAAGTTTTAACTTATGGCAACTACTTGAAACTTGTACTTCCAGTGCTTTGGTGTTGGCCTCTCTTGTCTGAACCCCAGGGCTGGAGCAGTGTCCCTGTTGAGTCCCTGTTGTGGTGCTGTGGGGACAGGCTGGGCCCCAGGCCACACTCAGCCCACTGTGACTCCAGCACCCCTGGCTAAGGAGACCCAGGGCACTGCCAGGGGCTGCAGCCAGGAAAGGGAAGTCATTCAGTGTGGCAGGGTTTGCTTCTGCCAAGGGGAACCAGAACCTTCCCACACTCCCAACCCAGCTCAGCACCTGTGTGCACATTGGAATGTGCTGTGCCCCAGTCCCGTGTCTACCCAGGATGGACACAGCTGTCCCATTTTTCCAGAGCTGATTTTAGTCCAGCAATTATGCTTGAAAGCCATAGTGTGAGAAATAACCACTTTGTATATATTTATAAACCCTTCTCAGTAAGTTTATATACATTATAAAATGCATAGAATTAATTAGTTGCAGCTGGTTTGAACAGCCTTTATGGAACTGAAATACATTGCTGTCTTTATAGGAGCTAGTGCTAAAGATTCCAGAAAAAAGGATCATGAGCATCTGCAGAGGGTAAACTGCACATCCAGGGTACACCTGAACTTCACCTGCTCTTCACCATCCCCAGAGCAAGTTTATAGGTCAGGGCATGGCCCTGAGCACTGGGCAGTGTGTACAAAGTGAGGGTCAGAGGTACATTTGCATTTGTGAAAACTGCCCAGGAAGCTTTTCTGAGAATCCAGAGTCAGACTGTTCAGAGACACATTCCCAGAGCAGTGTCTGCAATCCAAACTTGCACTGCTTTGGGATTTGTGCTGCTTAAAGGCAGACCACGTTTTTGTAGTACAAAACACAAAAGCTTGGAACAGAGAAGGGTTTTGGAACTATGTTTTTACAAAGGGTTAAGGTTTTTCTCTCAGGGCCTCATGAGAAAATGGAAGGGAATTGAAGTCACACCACTGCACATCCCCACTGCTGCCCCTCCAGTCCCGTTTGCTGCCCCACTGCACATCCCCATCCTTGCTTCATTCATGCCCTGGAGACTGGTGTGTCTGAAGGGTGACGGAGCAAGGGCACCCTGTTTGTTAGAAGCATTGTTCCCTTGGAGATGCCATCCTTTGACTCCCTTTCAGATGGCCACGCTGGGAGAAGCCCGGCTGAGGGAGATGGAGGCGCTGCGTGCCCTGCGAGCAGCCAATGAGGTGAAGGTGCTGTCGGGCGAGGAGGACGCCGAGCTCAAGGTGTGTCTGTGCCAGAAGGAACCCACTGCTTCCATGATCCAGTGTGAGCTCTGCAGGGGCTTCTTCCACACCGGCTGTGTCCCGGTGCCCGGCGCCGCGCCGGGGCCGCGCGTCTGGCTGTGCCCGCACTGCCACCGCTCCAAGAAGCCGCCTCTGGAGAAGATCCTGCCGCTGCTGGCGTCCCTGCAGCGCATCCGTGTCCGGCTGCCCGAGGGGGATGCCCTGCGCTACATGATCGAGAGAACTGTGAACTGGCAGCACAGAGCACAACAAATGTTGTATTCAGGGAATCTAAAACGCATCCAGGACAAAGTTGGCTCAGGATTACTGTACAGCAGGTGGCAAGGCCCAGCGGGCCAGCTGCCAGAGACAAACAAGGTGAGGCTGGGCCGGGGCACTGAGAGATGGGGTCAGCAAGGGCAGGGGGTGATGCTGCTCTGGGTTTGGGTCTGCTGTTGCTCCCTACAAATCCTGACAAGGCAGAGGGTTTGTTCCTGCTTTACAGCTGTCAGGAGCTGGGTCCTGCTGTGCCCCTCAGCCAGGATGTGCGTGTGCCCCAGCGGCAGCTTCGTGTTCCCTTCTGCTGGAGTCCAGGACCTATTCCTCCCAAAGAGCCTGTTTTTCCCTCTCCTCTTCCAGCTCCTGTGTTCTGCTGTGACAACAGTAATGACAGAGCTGCTGAGTTATTGTTTCTGGAGTGCTCACTATTCAGCTGGTCTTTATATTCTACTTCTACAAGTATTCAAATAGAGTTTTAAGTGTCGAGAATTACTGACAGAGGCACAAACTGTCCTGTGCTTTACCAGCTTGGCTCTCAGACAAGGTTGTTTTCAACAAAGGGTCTTCATCCTTTGCTGCCTCTTCTCACTTCCCCTAGACCTCCCAAGCTGAATATTCTGCTCATATTGCTGGGTTTAGCTACAGCAGCTGTTTCAGGTGGGGTAGTGAGGGAGTTTGTCTTTTTTCAGTGAAGATCTTTCAGCAAAAAGCACACATAAAGAAGGAAAGAAGATATTTTTCCTGAGATAACAAATGCAGAAAAAAATATCAGAAATCAAAGCTCTGTGCTGTATAAAGAATATTAAACACCCCAAAATGGAATGTTGCTTTTACATTTTGAAATACCTTAGTTTTGCTAGTCCAGTTACAGTTAGGCTGTGTTTCTGTTTTTGCACTCACTTATGTTAAAACATAAAACATGCCTGACGTGTTTTATATACATATACACAAGAGTGTAATAGCTGCTTCTCATTCATCCAGCTATGCCCATGGCTTGTGGACCAAATTTTTCAAGCAGGCAAGTCAAGATACAGAATTTAAAATATATTTAGGTATCTTTAGGTATTTAAGATAATTTTTCTGGTCATTTAGGTCTGAAAGTATCATTTTACCAGATCAGCTAGTGTAGCTGTAAAGAACTGCCCAAGATTTTGGAAATGGAAGTTGATGTTTCAGCCAGAAATTGAAACAGTGAGTTTAATTTTATTTGCATGATGGTATTAGCTCAGCGTGGAACTGTGAGGTTCCTCCCACCTGAGCAGTGTAACCATTTTTGAGAGGACTGGACCTTAAGTCAGTAAAGATTCCAAATCAGGGTGTTTGTGGCTGAGCTAGTCCAGGTTCTTGCATTGTTCTACATTTCCCAAATCAGAGGTCCCTGGCAAGCTCAGTGGAAGGGCTCCTGGCCAGGTGCCTCTGCCTGGGTCTCTCTGAGCCAGGCCCCCAGTGCACCTTGGCACAGGTGTCAGCTGAAACTTCAGTTTCCATGGATTTTAGGTGTTTTTCTGGTGAATCCAGTGTCTCACCAAGGCTGACCTGTCCTGTCCTGGTTCTGTTTTCCCTGTCATCTGGGCTAATTCAGCACTCACTTCCCCCACAAGAAGCTCTTCCAGTAACCAGTTGAGTTGGGCTGCTTTGACACTGGCCAAAGTGAGGAATGTGGGTGAGTTTGAAAAATTCCCTTGAGAGCAGCAATGGGAATTGATTAGAGCCACATTCTGCAAGGGGCCCAGGCACTTGGGTTAGTGAGGCAGAGGGAGTTGTGGAAGGTTCCTGGTGAGATGCCCCTGGCACTGACAGGAGGTGCAGGGTTTGCTGTTGGTGTGTCCCTGCCTGGGCAGGGCTGCAGTCTGCAGGACCATGGCAGTGAGACACAAGATTTCAATAGCTGTGAGAGAAACAAGTGTTGATCCTATCAGCAGTTATTTTGCATTTCAAGCTCCACCTTTATTGAAACTATCTGTGTTTCGTTTTCCAGGTGTCCCAGACAATTGGAGCAATGTCATTTTCCATGCCTCATGACTGGGATAACAGAACTGTGTATTTGCATTCTCCATTCTCTACAGGACAGCACTGCATCCCACTTCATGGTTTGTAATCTTCACTTGGGTTTGGGGGATTTCCCCTGCCACTTCTTTTTTTCTCTCCTGTGTTTGGTGGGGCAAGGAGGGTGTCCTGGTCACCAGGAGGTGGCTGAGCAAGCCTGTGACTACATAGGTGGTTGTTTCTCCATCTCCTCAGCAAGTTTGGAGCTCAGTGTCCAGCTTTGACAGAGGAGTGCATTGCTCAAGAACAGAAATTTCCCATGTGTAATGAAAAGGTGTGGCAAAATGGGTTGAGGAATCAGGAGAGCTGGCCTCTTCCCACAAGAGCAGCTGCCCTGGGCTGGGCCCCAGCCGAGCTGCAGAAGGGGGAGGGAAAAGGGAAGGGCCACTGGAAGTGTAGGAGGCAGATGGGAACAGCAGGGATGTGGTGCTGGAATCTGTGGGATATTTAATGCACAGGACATGAGTCCATGTGAGCACAACTGTCCAGCTGTCAGAGACTGGAGCTGCCCCAGCCCCCGTGGGGTCACTCAGCACAGGCTCTGGACCATCCTCACCTCAGACATGGTGGGTTGGACTAACAGACAAGCTGAGAATTGCATCATTTTATGACTGTGACAGAGATTATTTATCATTTCTTCCTTCCTCATACATAATGCTCCAGGGATACAAGTCTAGACTTACCTTCATGTCTGTGCAGCTCAGTCCATACCAGTGTTAGAGAAGCCAATTCAGTGGAATGTTACAGTTCACATCAAACAAGGCAGTTCTTTGTGTCACCAGGTTTATTTTTCATGTTTGAGTTGTAGTGTATTAATAAGCAGTTATTTATACAAAGATTTTGGCCTCCCCAGCCGGGACTGTTTCAGAGCCCTCCATGAGCTTTGGAGCCAGTAGCATCAGTAGAGCAGGGCCATGTCACCAGGCTCATGCTCTCAGCCTTCCTTCCTCTCCTCTCATGGCTCCCTGTACAGATCTCACTCAGTTTGTTCATATCACCCACTTGTTGGGTGGTGAGGGGATTGGGGTGGCTCCCAAAGCAGGACAATTTGCCAGGAATGATGGCAATGCCTTATCCTTGAACCCGAAGGGAATGGGGACATGGCTGGGTGCTGAGCCACAGTGCAAGAACTTCTGTGCAAGCCTTTATCTTTTCTTTTAACCCTGCTGTTAAAAATGAGCAGTCAAGAGGGAGCAGATAAGAACTAACTCATACACGTTTAAAGTATTTCACCATTTTTTTGTTGTGCTACCAGATTTTTCATTATCTGTGCAGTTCTTGTCACTGAAGAATTCCTGCTGTGTCTCCTTGTCTTTCACACTAGTCATTAGCACTGAGCTGGATGAGCTGATGATGGAAGCCCAGCTGCTGCAGGTTTGTTTGCCCGAGATCCAGGAGCTGTACCAGGCCCTGTTCACGAAGCAGAGCCCTGCCCTGCAGCCGGAGCAGAGGTCACCCAGTGCAGCCACAAGTGAGAAGGCAAGTGTCCAACAGCAGCACTGAGCTGGGGCACCCTGGGGAAGGGCTCTGCCTCAGCCCTTGGGCTTTGCAGGGGTTTGTGTGTGGGGCTTTGCAGGGGTTTGTGTGTGGGGCTGCATTTCCATGAAAACACATTTTCCTTGTGGAAAGGAGTCAAGAAGTCAATAAGAAATTAGTTACAAAATACTGAATACAATTTGTGGCCTAAACATTTTTTAAATTTAGATATGTGTTTGTGGTCAGTCTCTGTACTTTAAATACATCTGTCCTGATTTCATAGAATTGCAGAATCCCAGACTGCTTTGGTTGGGAAGGGACCTTAAAGCTCATTTTCTTGCACCACTTGCTGTGGGCAGGGACACCTTCCACTAGACCAGATTGTTCCCAGTCCCATCTTGGCTTTGAACACTTGACTCTTGTCCTGTGTCAGGGCTTTCCAAGGGAGCTGCTGTGAAAGATTTGGGCTCAGAGGCAGGAAAAGAGGATGGTTTTGTCTCTGAGTTCTGTCCCTGGGGCCTGACCCTTCCCTTGGCACCTCTTTCTCATCTCATGCTACTGAAAATGCAGCACTATCAAACACTTAAACTTGTACTTAAACCTATTCTTAAAATCAGGGTATGGAATAGCAGGATAATGGATGTTAGCTGCACACTTCCAACCTCTCCAAAATGTCTTTCCCATAGAATGAGTGTTGCCGAGGGAAGAAGGATGGGATTAGTTACATGGAGAGAAAGCTGAAGCGGCGTTTTGAGAGAGAGAGCTTCTGTGGTGAGAAGAGAGCGAGAGTAAAAAAGATGAGAACACCCAAAAAGAAGAAACTGAAACTGAGTCATTCAAAGGATGTGTGCAGTAACAAACTGGAGAGAGAGCGGGAGCGGCTCCTGGAGCTGCAGCGCTCCAGCGACAGCCACTTGCTGGCCTCAGACACGTCGTTCTCAGAGCAGGAGGACTCCGAGGATGAGGATGCCATCTGCCCAGCTGTGAACTGCCTCCAGCCCGAGGGGGATGAGGTCAGGAGGGGCACACCTACTGTGGCATCCTGAGTGCTGGGCTGTGGGACAGGGAGCTGCCCTGGGACTGTTTGACTGCAGAAAAGCTGTTCATGAGGAGAGTGGGAGGCCCTGGCTAACCCAGGGCTGGTGTCCTTGCAGCTGGGATGGGCAGGGCCCACTCCACCGGCCCTGGGGCACCCATGTGGCATCAGAACATCTGCATGAGAGGGGGCAGCTGGGGCTGTGCAGATGCTGTGTCCCTGGCTGCTCTTGGGATACAGCTGGGGGTGGGGGCAGTGCCTGGGGCTCTGCTCAGGCCCATCCACTTGGAAATGGAGAAGAGGGACTTTGAGTCTCAGATAGGTGGGAAAGCAATGGGAAGATAAGGGAGGGTGTGCCCTGCCCACAGCCCTGGAGAGCAGGGAGCACAGTGAATATCCAGCACCAGCCAGCTGTGGAACATTTCTCATGTAAATAGACCAGGAGCCCCAGGATGACCCACGAGTGTGGGGGGACTTTGCCTGGCCCTGCTCTGACCCCTGTGTCTGCTCTTCACCAGGTCGACTGGGTCCAGTGTGATGGCAGCTGCAACCAGTGGTTCCACCAGGTGTGTGTGGGCATCTCCCCAGAGATGGCAGAGAAGGAGGATTACATCTGCGCCAGCTGCGCCGGGAAGGACGCCCAGTACCGAAAGTAAAACCCCCATAAACCCTTCAGGACTCGAGTAAAGAAGGTTCCCAGTTTTCCAGTTAAGCCACAGGGGCTGGTTTAAAAACCAGATTGCAAATGGTGCTACTTCTATCCTTATGGGATCATTTTCCAGAACTCAAAACAATTTTTGACACTTTTGTATTTTCCCTTGATCTGTTTGTGGTTGTTGAGGTTTGAGATGCTGACTGTTTGCAGGGGTTTCCACTGATTGGGAAGGCATTTGACATATGCACCTTTATTGTACAGCATTCAGTTACCTCTGGGATTTACTGGCATATTTAATTCAGCTTGGTTTGGGTGCAAAAACAAACAAACAAACAAAAAAAAACCCCTGCACCATGAATTTTCCAATAATCCTCTTTTGAGGAAATCCCTGTTTACTCTGTTAACTCTTTGGAGACTTTAGTTTTTTTCCACTTTGTTTTTCGTAGACTAGGTTTATTTATCTGAGCAATAACTTCTATGTCTGGTTTCAGTGACTGGAATGACAACTGAACAGCGTGTTGCTTCTAGCATTGGTTGATGTACAGACAGCAAATGTTAGATCCTAGTGTCACTGAGGGCCCTGTGATGTAGAAGACAGGAAAAAAAAAAATCTGTAAAGTAATTGCCACAGCTGTATTTTGGCTTTCTCCTTTTTTGGGTAGCTTGTATCAAATGTTGCAGTTTATATTGTGGAATAAACCCCTGGTTATGTTATAAAATTAAATGTTGGTGTTTTTAGAGAGTTTGAAATGCAGTTTTATTTCCCTCTGAATCCACACTGCATCACTGGATTCTCTAAGCCAAGAAATAATCACCTTCCAAAGAAGTAATGCAGAAGCTGGGTGGTTCTGGTCTGTTCAGGTTTGGAAGGAGGAGGGAGGTCAAAATGTAAACCAAAAAGAAAAAAAAACAAACAACTTTTTCAAGATTTTTGCAAAGCTTTTCCAAAGCTGAAATTATTTGCAGGTCGAGTGCATGAAGAATTGAAGGTACAGTTTGGGACTTGGCAGGGGCAGGAATGGGGGGTCTACACAGGACACAAAGGTGTGAAGCAGCTTCTCCTGCCAGCCCTGGCCAAGCTTGCAGCAAAGGAGGGACCTTAACTCATGGCCCAGGCTGGTGTCACAGTGGCCTCTGTGGCCCACAGGGAGCTGGCTCTGCACAGCCCAGGCTGGTGGCCACAGCAAGCTCTGCTCTGCCTCTGGCTGGACTCCTGCAGCTGCTTCCACCTGCATTCAGCCCAGAGGTCTGAGGAGCAGGGAGATTTCTGCTTCTCCCAGAGGCTGTTCAGGGCTGGGGCACTGCAGGTGTGGCACAGCTTGGCTGCTCAGGCCCGCAGGGCACTTCCCACACGGGGCTGCACCCAAAATCCCTCAGACAGCAAGGACTGCTGCAGAACACAGCTGGAAGTGGCTCCAGGACCTGCCAGAAATGGAACTCCTGGAGCCCAGGGAGATGGGAGGGCTGGAGATGTTTGTCTCAGCAGGGAGAGCGCTCTCCATGACAGCTTGTCCTCACCAGAACCGTGGTGGGCTTGGTGTTCCCTTCACTCACCACCAGGAGGAATTTCCCGGTAAGTTTTTTCCCTACTGGTTTTACTTTTCCCATGGGGAGAAGAGCACAGAATCACTGGGGTAGGGCAGAGCCTTGGGACATCTGTGGCTGATAGTGGCACAGAGGGTCTGTGGGTGGGATCAGAACTGTGCAGGAATTTGGTCCCACAGGGGTTTGGTTAGGTGTTTGTTTTTTTAAACAATTTTTGACTGTTAAAAGAACATTCAGCTGGGCCCAAGTGATGTATCTGAAAGTGCTGGGGTGGGGGAGAGCTTTGAGCCCGTGTACATGAGTTTTGTCTGTGCTTCCATGGTATAATTGGTCCTTTTTTTTAAGTACCAAAAGGATGCTTTGAGAAATGTTTTGGTTTTTTTCTTTTTTTTTTTGCTTGGAAGAGTCTTTGTGCAATGCTGAGATAACAGTCTGAGCTGGGGAAAAACACTGCTCTGTAATAACTTCCTTTCAGAGGGGACAGACAGACAAACTGGAGCTGGAGCTGGAAATGGAGCTGGCACAGAGTCTGATACAGCTGAATCATTACAGATCTTCCTCTGTGTCCCCTTTATTTATTTTTTTTCCATTGAAGAAATGGCTGTTTATCAAAAAAGTGTCAGAGGAAATGGGATGCAGTTAAGTTCATCATGGTGATTCCATACAGGAACAGCCATTGTCAGTTTGGGGACTTGGGGGGTCAGAGGAGACTTCTGGGGTCCCAACAGCAGCATTTATTATCAGGATTATTGGCTGATATTGGAGTGCAACTTTTTGGAAATGATTACATTGTTACTTGAAATTTTTCAAGAAATGGAAACCTGAGTCCTTGGGAGACCTGTGCCTGCAGCCCAGACTGCTGAAGGATCCGTGTCTTATTTCCTGCTGGAGCTGTGACCCCTGCACAGTGGCTGGAGGTTGGAAGAGGTGACAGTGTCTGCAGTGCCACAGACTCTGCCCTTGGGTTTCATCCCCATGTGGGTGCTCAGACTTGATGAAATTGGGGTTTGACTTCTGTTAAACAAAACAAGAGAAATTTGTTCAGTTTGGGGTGGGCTCTGCACATTCCTCATCCTCAGGGAGGGTGACAAGGGCAGAACGTGCTCAGAGTCTGGCAGGATGAGCTGCCCCTTTCACTCCTCCTTTTGTGCATCCCAGATTTCCAAAGGCTAAAACAGAACAGGAAAAAGGTCTCTCTCACCTCATTCTCTTGCTTTTTAAAATTTTAGTTATTTTTATAATGTAGCAACCAAGTACATCAAACCTCCCTGGATTGCTCACATCCTAATTATTTAATAAGAATAGTTTATGGCTTCTACATAAGTTTAATCATAAAATGGGACAAAAATGAAATTAAGTAACCCTACCTGTGCTTTTCAGGCTGAAAATTGTGGTTCAAAGCCTGCCTGTACTGTGTGCCAAGACTCTGAGATTGTACCTGTTGTGCCACCTTTAGTCTGTGGGATGTACCCTGTGTTGTGTCGTACCCCAGGAGCATCAGAACAGCCCAGTGTGGTCACACAGCACCAAAAACTCACCCACGGGAAGAGGCAGGGTTTTGATTCCACCTATTTAGGTGCTACAGAGATGCTCCAAGGGGCATAGCTCCTCAGCTCTGGAGCCAGGCTGGGAGAGCTGGGGATGTTCACCTGGAGAGGAGAAGGTTCTGGAGAGATCTTAGAGCCCCTTGCAGGGCCTAAAGGGACTCCAGGAGAGCTGGAGAGAGACTTTGGACAAAGGACAGAAGGACAGGACAAAGGGGAATGGCTTCCACTGCCAGAGGGCAGGGATTGATGGCATGTGGGGAAGAGATTCTTGGCTCTAAGGGTGGGGAGGCCCTGGCACAGACTGCCCAGAGCAGCTGTGGCTGCCCCTGGATCCCTGGAAGTGTCCAAGGCCAGGCTGGACAGGGCTTGGAGCAGCCTGGGACAGTGGGAGATGTCCTGCCCATGGCAGGGGGTGGGACTGGATGGGCTTTCAGGTCCCTTCCAGCCCAAACCAGCCTGGGATTCTGTGATTCTATGAGCTTATCCTGTGGGTGCAGAACATGGAATTCACTCAAAGACTCTCCATCATCCAGGCTTTATGGAAGATAAAACCAGCATTGGAGAGCATTTGCTGGGTATTTGGGCAGCTCAGGGAATTGGGGCTTCCAGCAGGAGTTCAGCTGCCAGGACCCTGCCAGGGCACACAAAACACCAGGGAATGTTGTGGCTGCAGGCAATGTGTCTGAAGGACACAACTACACGTGTCACACAGGATTCAGGAAGGAACCATCTCCAGAATGCACACACAGGAACATCAGGAGCTGAGATGGCTCTTCTCTGAATCTGGAAATGAGTGTGCTGTCCTGAGAGAGTGACTGAAGTGCAGCCCTGACAAATGCATCATCCTTCATTCACAAGGGAGCAAATCTCATACTGAGAGCTCTCCTTGAGGATGTGAACACCTCAGTCTGTGAAGAAACAGCTCCTCACCGAGAGCATCATCAATGGATGATAATTACAGTCTGTCAATAAAAGTCTGGAAGAGGAGATAAAGCAGCCACAGAGAAGAATGCAACTGCAGGTTCAACACTCAGCTGCTCACAGAGACAGACAAAACTGGGATCAGGGAATTCCTGCAAAAAGGCCTTGGGAAGAAGGAACAAGTAATTTATGTCAAAAAGAAAAGCCTGTGTGATCATGTCAGACTGCCAGGTCCAAAATTCTGCTTACAGAGAGGAAGGTTTGCTGCAAGGTGGTTGAAAAGAAATAGTGATGTACCCTAAATTCAGAGGTGCAGCTCCACAAAGGCTCCTTGTGCACCTCAGTTTCTCAAGTTCTGAAAAACTGCTTACGGTAGTGTTTTCAAGGATTTTAGCTGTTTGTTTAATCATAATCCTGGGCCAGATTTTATTTGTTTATAGATATATATCTGTGAGTGTGCTTGTCCCTTGAAATCTGTGTCAGCTTCTAAACCCCTGTCTAAAGCACATGGCATTCACTTAAGAGTCTCTCCATCATTCAGGCTTTATTGAAGATTGGAGAGTGTGGGTCAAGTGTTTGGGCTTCTGTGGTGTCTGGTGGGATTTTAGCTTTTCATGGTTTTGTTGCTGTCTGGAATTTTAACCAAGCAGGGGACAGGCTGAGCTAGCACCTTCTAACTCAGGCTGATCCTTTGCCTGCTCCATGTGCTGCCTTGATATTTCTTGGGGTTTTTTTGCTGGTTCCAGTAGTCCCATGCCACCTTCCTGTGGGTCTTCCTTGGAATGGGTCTGTGGGAGGAGCTCAGAGCTGTGCTTTGAGCTGAAACAGCAAAGGGAGAAACAGAGATTTCATCATAAAATACCTTTCCATACAAAGAATATCTTTATGTGGTGAGGGAACTGTCCTCCCTAAAGAAGGTCAGAAGAAGGGATGACAGAACTGGGATTGGGCTTGGAGGCAGAAGTATTTGACCAGGAAGCTCTGAGTTGTGACTTTGCATGAGGGATCCCTGCAGAAATCTGTGAAGAGCCTGTGTAATACCCAAATGGGTGGGAATTCCAGCCTGAAAAAGCCTGAAAGACTCAAATAAACAGAGTTTCTGCAAATACAGAAGAATAAATCAGCACATTCAGAGTGGTCATGCATCACTTCAGCTAAAAGGAGGATGGACCAGACTGGCATTGCTCTGGGATACCCCTCCTCTCCCTAAACCTCGTCCTCTTTACTTGCAGTGTGTTTGTAAGGCAGAGGAAACAGTTGCCACTGTGATAATGTTTGTCCCTTTTTAACAGATACTTGCAGAGCTGTGCCAGATCTGATGCTGGCACTGATAACCAGTGACAGCTTGGTGTGATGGAGCCAGAGAATCATGGACTCAGTTGGGTTGGGAAAACCCTCCAAGACCATCCTGTCCAACCATTCCCCCAGCACTGCCATGTTCATGACTAACCCACGTTCCCAAGGGTCACGTCCACACATGTTTTGAACATTTCCAGGACTGGTGACTCCACCACTGCCCTGGGCAGCCTGTGCCAGGGCCTGATCACTCTTTTGGGAAGAAATTTTCCCTCATACCTGACCTGAACTTCCCCTGGGGCAACTTGAGGCTGCTGCTTCTTGTCCTGTCCCTTGTTGCCTGGGAGAAGAGATCTGGACCTCCTGCCTCACTGATTTTGGTGCAGCAGCAGCTCACTTGTGTTTTCCACTAAGCCAAAATCCTGGGAC